TAGGCAGAGGTGCACATTATACCACTGTACAATGTAACACCCACTTTTCACTATTTATGTTATGAGTCCCATGTAATAGGGGGTGAGCCTATTGCCATATACCGGGCACAGTTCCAGACTCCGTGCTACTACTGAGAATTTTTTAAAAAAACCCAGTAGTACTTTGCCCGACCCGGGAATCGAACCCGAGACCCCTTGCCCGGCAGTCGCAATTGCGATCACTCGGCCAACGAGGCAGTCACCAATCAATGATAAAGACATTAGCATCCTGCATAGAAATTGTTTTAAGTAAACAGTTCATTGATACCTGAAATCTCAATGTGAATGAAAATCTCAAAAAATAAAATACACTATTATCTTAATTGCCTGAAATAAAATTATAACGGTACCTAATTATCAAAGAACAAAATAATATAAGTAATCATAAAAGGTCTTGACATTAGTTAGTAATTTTCATAAATTACAGCCAATTGAGTTCAACAACCTTTCAGGTTTGTTATAAAATAGCAAAATTTTGTATATTTCACGCATTTTGAAAGAGAGACTCAGTCGGAGAAGATGTAAGAAATATATACTAGCTGACATAATTTTCTTTTCGTTATTAGTGACAAGGGACAATACATCAAAGTACCTACTTATTACAAAATAAAGAGGTTTTATATCTATTAATAACTTTCGTCTTGTTAACTCAACTATCAACTATAAACCACCCTGTGGTTTACAATTTTTTGACATATATACATACTATATATGCATTAAAGTTATTTGATTCTTTCATTTAAGAAATAAGTGGTTCATACAGGTACCTATTTATTTATTCAAAGAATTTTAATGCGAGAAATAAAAGGCGAACGATGTTCTGCATTTTGTTTTTCTTCTTTGGCAACCGAGTCTCCAATACGATGTTGTCGATGTTCTGCATTTAAATCAAACATTCATTTTCATTCGAACAAAGCTATGATCATGCGATATACGCATACTTACTTATTCAAGTAAAATTAAGGTTTTTTTTATCACATCATTGTCACTTTATTTATTTTTATATCTCCATATTACCAACTATCTTGTTAATCATGTTGACAGCTGTTTTATTATTGGATTTCTCGATTCTGAAATTGTAAACACTGCGCATGCGCAAGCAACTGAAAATGTAAGTACTATGCCCTTGTAGTAGGTAATACAACTTTGCTATTGGCACAGGTATAGGAAAGGTTTTTTTAATTTTGATAATACATATTATATATCAACGTCTACAAAGTCACATATACAACTTCCTAAAATATATTGTACACTATATTTATTGATTCGTAGGTGGTCTATAATTAAAAAAAAATTACACAGTCAATGAAATAAAAAAAAATGTATCATATAGTTTACAAAAAGAAACAAACAAAAACGAAAATTGTAAAATAATTTATTACGAACTCTAAAACCTTATGATATGGCAAGAACAACCAAATAAATAATATTACGACTTCAACTTAACAACTAAACTAAAATAATAAATGCAGAAAATAATAATATCACGATAACAAGACCAAACAAGATGTAGAGAGTCAATACTTTTGTTACTATTGTCTTACACCTAAATGAAACTTGCAAACTTGTGTATACTTACATAAAAATATTTATTTATTCAACCTATACCATAAACATAGAATACTTTAACTATTCGTACAAAACGTTATAATTTGTCTATCAACACATTACCAAACATACCCTTAATTTAAAATCATACACAATTATTTTCATACTAACACATCTCATACTTTTTGGACCATCTTAAAAAATAAAACACCAGTTACTGTGTCTTCTCATCTGGTTGGCCGTCATCTACGACCATGTCTATCTCCACTTCGTAAGTCCCCGGCTTGGTGCGCGAGGGCCTCACCACGATTCCTGGCATCTTGGATTCCTGCACCCCGTCAACTTCGTTTTCAGCATTGTTACCAATAGGCACCTCACCTTTCACACTTGCCGGAGCATCAGGAACAGATATACTATTCAGTTGATCTTGGGGTAACTTCACAGACATTAACCCTTGAAACCTTTGGACGAACATCTCCAATATTGGACCAAACCTTGAAACACCGTCAGTTGACAGCAAGAATCTGTCGGCAGCTCCTTCTTTAGGTCGGAGCACAAACATGTTGAAGTTGAGGGTCTTCTTCACGGGCCGGGCCGCTGCCTGCGCGATGCAGGCTATAGCGATGAGTACGAACAGCGCCCGAGGTGACATTATGTTAGAGTAGGTTCGCGTGGCGGTAGCGTGCGCCCACGGCGGCGAAAGACTCCACACTGCGCCAGTTGCGTTTTTGCCGCGCATCTAAGCCAAGATAACGGGTCCACAGCAAAAAGATCATAATTGCCTCGCATCGTACCGAACGTTGATAATTGCAACGATCTCTCGACACCTTTCCTTTGGAAAGCGATTCCATCTTAATTCAAGTGAGTCATCATTATCAGACGCCCAAAAATTTATGATCCTCTTTGATGAGTATTGTTCATGAAACTAGTTTTGTGTTATAAGTGTCTGCGAAGATATTGACAGATCTAGCTTAATTGGTTTTGGATCGACCATTAAAGTTTGTATAAAAAATACTGATATAATATACATCTCAATGTTGTGGTGGAGCTGTGAACTTTAAGTCGAAGACGATAAGTGACAAATTAGATTGTGCTTGTGGTGATATAATTTGCACATTACTGCACCTATAGTTTTGAATCATATTTATGGCCATCCATCATGAGAGACTCTTGTACGTGATTGATCGTAATATAATGATGCAGCATCAAGGTCACTACAATGCAGGTCAATGAAAATAAACAAAATGCGGTTTGTGGGCTTTTTGCGATTGTTTTGTTCTTAGCTTTTATTTCTTTTTAATGATAGAAATTTTGATGGTCTATTAGCTGGAACGAATTATAGCTTTTTATTTTAGCAAAACGACAAGTGTGTGTAATTTGATATACTTACGGTTATTATCGTTGAAAAAGTTTCGAAATTGTTGGAAGATTTTTGCTTACTATCCGTTTGAAGACTTTTTGATGTCAACTAAAGGAATAAAATAAAAGAACTTGGACAATGAATATTATAGATATGCAGGTAGAATGGGTAAATGACGAATGGTAACTTGATCACACACTTGTAGATACGTTTCTTATTCATGCTTGCTGACTAAAGAAATATCCTTAAAAATTCTATCAAATATCTCACCGTCAAAAATACCTGACAAGCGGGAATGACTAATGTACAGAATACACAATAATTGAAACAACATTACAATTTAATTGAATTAAACCGTCCACGTCCATCTTGAGTCAATTATCTGTTATTTATGTCCAATCACATTTCCAATTGGCCATAATTATACGTCCGATTCCTTTGGAGATCATAAACTGGTAACCATTCTCGGAACTTGACAATTTTATCTAAAAGCTGAAGAAATGGTGGATGTAGGAAAAGGAATCTTGTTGGAAAGGAATAGGGATGTTATGGGTGATTTTGGATAGTAAATATAAGTTGGTAAATGTTATACTTTATAGGATTGAACGCCACCACAGGATGAGGCTCCGTTAGAGACGATAAAATGCAGTTTAAGTACTAACGGTAGCAGTTTCGCAGATAAAAGTTAGATTCTACAAGGAAGTATTAATATTGTTAATGATGGTCATCTCAGTTCAGGAAGTATTCATTCGACTAAATTATTTCTTTAAATATTGTGTATTGATAGGATCGTTAATTTTGATAGGAACTAGTTTTTGGACACTTTCGTTTTATAAAGGAAAGTTGGTTTCCTGTTTTTTTACTTTTCATATTTTGGCCTAATTGCTATATAAAACATAGAAATGTGTGTAAGTATTCATTAATCAGTACTTAGATGAGCGTCTTTGCTGATACCGTTATAGCTGAAAGAGGTAGTTGAAAGGGTATTCGTAACTGTTATGTTAATAGTCTTATCTGTAATGGTGATTTAGGTAAATAACCATTCGCATCCAAAGCCACAGAAATTGTCAACACTTGTACATAAGGATTAATATTAGTGGTACATCAACCAACCATATTTAGCATCAAAAAGGACCATAAAGCAACACTCGTAGATGTAAGGAATTCAAAATCAGAACACGCTGGCAGATTTGCAACCAGCCAATTACTTACTATATTTTACGACGACTTAAATATGAAGAACTCGAGATCTCAACTCGTTAATCTTATTGCATGCATGAGTTAAACTGACATAGGTATTTAATGTAACCGTTTTTCGCCTTATGAAGGGAAATAGAGCTGATTATAAATCTCGGGCAATTTTACTAGAAGTACTGGTTAGTTATCTGATAGATAGCGCTGTAATTCGCGATGCTGTTAATTTATTATAGGAGAAAGCGACCGGTCCTGCTTATAGTAGGGCGATGTCGCTCCATATAAGTTGTACAGTTGGTAAAGCTGGATTTTCTAAGGAATTTTACTGGAAATTGTTGTTTATGTTTACTTAAGTTAAGGAAGAGTTGGGTAATATAATTGAGAGTGTATGCATCAACTTGTGGAGGATGTTAGATATCCAATTTACTGCAACTGGACATTCCTCATAGTCTCTTAAACTATCGTATTATGGTTATTCTAAACTGTCTGGCTACTGAATGGTCTACTGAACTGAACTACTGAATGGTCCGATACTTGGAAATCTAAAAGTGAGATAGAAAATGACAAGGTGAACAATTCACGAAAATATATTATTTAAACATTTAATTTTCGTTATAAATATAAGAAACTACATTGCATTGCTTTGATTCTACAATCCATTTAATTGCATTCAATCGCGTATAGTTCGATACAAACTATAAAAGCAATGCAGCTTAGCATTTTCATCTTCATATGTAGTTTGTATCGAACTTTACTTAACTTATCATTCATTTTGGTGTTCAAATTAAATGTCTTCTTCTATAGTTTCTAAATTAATATAAATTTGTTCGATCACAGTATCCTAGTTGGTATCGTTGAGCTACGCTTTGTTTCGTGTGAGGGGTTGTGCTCTGTGGTTCGATTTGGCATCAACAGCTTCTTTGGCTTCTTCAGTCCCTTGTTTCAGTTGAGCTGGGGCACCTAGAAATATAGAATCATCATTTAAAATAAGTTTTAATATAATTTAAAATTGATAAGATGAATGCCTTGCTACTAGGGTCTCGATCTTAATTGTCTGAGGTTCATAACCACTACTAATGTAATATTGCTTCATGTTCATCTTGCTTTGTTTTCTTTTATATAAGACCTGTGTATCGAATATATTCCACGATAAAGAATTTTGAATTTGTTTTTTTTAATGATAAGATATTTAAAGAGACTATTGGATGTCGATGGTCCGAAAGAGACATGTCAGAATAATTTTTGGTTATCTCAATGGGAGAGAGGCATTGCGGTAACTATGTATGTTTTTCAATAATTATTAAAGTCCACGTATTAGTAAGCATAATTTTTTAGTGAATAAGATGCATTAAAATAACTTAAAAGGTGAATGAATATTGCTTACCACTAGGTACTCTCAAGTTAGGCGTTTGGCCTGGGTGGGCAAGTTGGGCGACGGGTCCCTGATAGGCTGCAGGGTTGACTGGTCCTTGGGGTCCCACATTCTGGGAGAAGTGGATGGGACCTCTGCCATCTGCTTGGATAGGTTGACCAGCGCTGTGGAAAAAAATATACAACAAAATGTATATTACATAACATAACATCACGCCTTTAATCCCCGAAGGGGTAGGCAGAGGTGCACATTATGCCACTGTACAATGTAACACCCACTTTTCACTATTTATGTTATGAGTCCCATGTAATAGCGGGTGAGCCTATTGCCATATACCGGGCACAGTTCCAGACTCCGTGCTACTACTGAGATTTTTTTTAAAAACCCAGTAATACTTTACTCGACCCGGGAATCGAACCCGAGACCCCTTGCCCGGCAGTTGCACTTGTGACCACTCGGCCAACGAGGCAGAGCAAATGTATATTATTTAACCAAAAAATCGACATTTAAGGGTCTCAATGAGAATTCCCAGTAGTTTTTTGAACTTACGCATTAACAAGTCCAGGGTCTTGGTACACAAGGTCATAAGGTCGGCTCTGGTAACCGATGGGAGAGGGCAGCACCTGTGGTTGGACCAAACCTCGGTTGTAACCAGCATACGGATTCACGACGCCATGACCTGATGGGTCTACAAGAACTGTGTTCTGGAAACCTGGAAAAAAACATTGATTAATTTAGATACAAAATACATTTCCTTCAAAGAAATTTGCATAGTTCTCTCCACTTGCGTATCTTCTAGTTTTGATTTATGGTATTTATATGAACCTCTAATAACTCAAATAGCATGCTACTGTTAAAATTTACAAAAATGTCTTCAATAACAATTTACACAACTATAAAAAGGTCTGTCTGTGTGCCTGTTGGCAGGGTTGGTCCTACTCCAAGGTACCGCTTTGCTCAATCAAAAATTCCGATTCCTATAAAGAAGACCAACCAAACAAGTAAGTAGGTACTCATTGCAGATCTTGTATCAACCGCTCTATGTATCTTGTAGACGACTGTAAAAGGACAATGACACGAAGATACTTGGAATTAAGGCAATAATTTACCATTTCCTGGGAACCTAGCGTTTCCTTGAGGTGCTGCAGCAACAATGTATACAGGTTGGTAGCCTCCAATGCTTCCGGGGCTGAAACAGATAAAAATATGTTACAGTTTTTTTATTGGATAAGCCGGTGAACGAGCAGACGGATCACCTATTGGTAAGCAATCAGCGTCACTCATGGACACCTGGAACACCAGAGACGTTACAAGTCCGTTACCGGCCTTTTGGGGATTAGGAATTTGAGGATTGTTGGGGATTCAGGGGTGGAGGTAAGGGGGGGGGGACGTAATTGGGTTTCCAGTATCCTCGCTCACACGACAAAACACTATGCAAGTGTTGAGTCACGCCAATTTCTTGGGACGCCGTGGTATCTCCGGTCGAGCCGATCCATTCGTGCCAATGCATGGCTCTCCCATACTTAGTACACAGTTGTTAAATTATGTCAAACAATATAATCTAAACTAATCTATTATCCATTTTGATTATTGAAATGTCCTACTATCCTACTTCTCATCTTACTAATACGTATAATAAATCTGAAAGTTATTGAGGATGTATAATGAGAGTAATTAACTTTAGCAATAAAGTGATAATTACCTGTAACCGGGAACTGGCATGTGCACTATGAAGACTCTCTGTCCAGGCACCAGTCCAGGTATGTTAGGAGCTACTGGGTTCTGAAAACACAAACAATAGAAATTTTAGTATGCTGGTAAACACCACTTAAAACTATGTGACCGCCTCATTAATTGAATGGTCAATTGAATGCTTATAGGAATAGTATTAGAAAAAATTAGGTACTATATTATTTTCATCCTACCCCTCACTGTACGGAGCTTGTAACATAAATGAAAAAAGGGATGATCCTTTGAAGCAATATCTGTGACATCAGTTTATTACAAAGAATGTAGTAAAGTGCCTTACAAAACATATACCCACAGCATTCACTCTACGTTACATTGCTTAGAAAGCCCACGAGGCACCGTCGGCACCAATAAGTATTGTTCAGTTCTCTTACTAACTGCTTTGTTTCATATCCTATGCTATATATAGTAAGGTATAAATACCTGTTGTGGAGGTTGCTGTGGCTGTTGTACTCCTGGCACCAACTCGACCTCACTGTCTGGCTCCAAGGATTCCAGACGAGCAGGCGAACCATGAGGACCATTTACACTAACTGCAAAAAAGAAAATTATTAGAGAATTGTAGTTTATTTTTAATATCATTGTTATCTTGAAAGTATTTTCTAGCTAAAAGAAGTTCACTACTGATCAAAGTCCTATCACTTTTAAAAATATGTGTCTTGCTACGTTAAGTTTTATTTACAGCCTAATTAAAGATCACAGTTAAGATTCTGCTGCCCTCAGTGGTTGCAGTTTTTACATAAACTCGTGACCTATATTCCGTTCAATTCAAGTATGTATATTTGTTTCACAATTTTAAAATGACATGCAAGTAATTATAAAGTCAGATCTAATCACAGCACTCACCTTGTTTCTGTTCAGCCGGTCTGTAGTAGTTGTCAACTGGTTGCTCTATAAAGTAGTCCAGTCTGTAAAATAAAGATAGATTTTGTATTTAATACAGGTAAAACTATAACAGTTTTTATGTTATAACTTTCATGAGATATACTAAATTAAATGTTATGTTTTTCCGCTTAATCACTTAATTAGAATAGCAGCGCGACAGTCGCGTCGTGAGTGCTGCTCATGAATATGAGCTTCTAGAATGGCTTGAAACTAGTCGAATTCCTCGTTAAATAATTACGTGAGTAAGCCGACAAATTACCAGGTTTGATGTCTCTGCTCGCTTATTTATTTCAATCATAGGTTTTGTTGTATAAATGTTACTGAGTGGATTTTCATGTCGATGCTACAAGTAAGTATAGTATACTTACGGATTGAGTTGGTGCAGTCCTGCTTGTTGAGGGTATCGCTGTTGTGGCGGAGGAGGAGCGGCACTCACCACTGCGACTACTGCCGCTACCAGATACTGAAAGCACGAGAATAATCACTCAGTTTTGGTAAAAAAGTCGTAGATAATGTATTATTTACCAAACAAGGTAGAGTTGTGTGGTTTATCTGCCCATAGGTATTGTACCTTAAAGTATTAATATTAAAGTATCTAATAGTGTGTACTGTGTAGTGTGCAAAGTAGTAATGTGTAATTTGATTACATATCAGTTTCATCAGTTTTGGCAGTAGGTCTACAAATAAAGTACCTAAATAAAACTAATCTAAGAATTTACTTAAATAGAATCCTACCAATTACGGAGACGGACTAGCTTTTCACATAACAATGGGGTCATTACGAAATATCCCATCTTAAAATTCCGATAGAAAACGAAGGACATTTCAAATCACCTTGTTATCTCGGTTACATCTCATTGGTAAATAATTACAATTCAGAGCAGGAGACTAGCCTTCGAGTAGGTCACAGTTCTGAGGCCAAGTTATTGCATTCATTTCATTTGAGGTTCGCGTCACTTGTGAAATTTGACTCATCAGTCATCACCATCAATGTATTTAGAATTTATAATTGTTATACTTTTCCTGTTTTGGCGAGCAGTGCATGCTTTGTTTTCCTTAAAGTGCATTGGTGTCTTAAACATAGTTTATGTTTTAACCGACTTCAATCAAAACAGTTATATGAATAACATAACATCACGCCTTTTATCCTCAAAGGGGTAGGCAGAGGTGCACATTATACCACTGTACAATGTAACACCCACTTTTCACTATTTATGTTATGAGTCCCATGTAATAGGGGGTGAGCCTATTGCCATATACCGGGCACAGTTCCAGACTCCGTGCTACTACTGAGAATTTTTTAAAAACCCAGTAATACTTTGCCCGACCCGGGAATCGAACCCGAGACCCCTTGCTCGGCAGTCGCAATTGCGACCACTCGGCCAACGAGGCAGTTATATGAATAACGTGTGACTCTTTAATAAAGTAGTTACAAGATTCTGCTGAGAAAGGAGTACGGGTCCTGCTCAAAGATTTCCAGCTCGAAGTCTAGAATATTGTGACCAGGCCATGGCTTGGAGCTCGCTGCCATTTCATTTTATAACATAAAAAAAATATGTTGTGATGACTCTACAAAGGCTTTCGTCAAAATATTTATGGTCATCCACATTGCAACTGGTTAGAATAATAGTCAAAAGTGTCTAAAAAAAGGTAACAGACAGCTACTGACAATATAATAACGATAATAAACGAAATTACGAAGTTTCTTACATTAAGTCCATTACGTAGTATTGTAGTTTATAAACTATCCGAAGTTCCGCTAGTCAAATGATATAAATCATTTAGAAATCATATTATTTCCCTGTCCATTGCAGTGGAACAGTTAAATAATGTGTTACGGCTTGCGAATAAATTCATTGTGCGTAACAGAATTACAGGCTCATTATAATATATCGATGTAACTGCATGTAAAATATCTGCCTGTCTGATGGATCATTAATATTAAGTTTTTGTATAAATATTGTAACATATTTCGAGGTCTACCGAAATATAAAAATAGGGCCTTTAGGTACATCGTTCATCTCTGCGCAATCACTCGACGAATAAACTGGTGAAACTCTTATGATAACTTCAGTAAAGTTCTATTACATTCTTATTGAATTTGATTTCTTTAAAGAAAAAACCAAAGATGTCGCTAACTAGGTACCATTACCATATTAATGTGCTAGAGTTCTTTTAAACCTTATAAAAGTCTTCACGGCATAATAGTTAAGTTAATCTGACATAAGTACTCTGTTTACAAGCAATGCTAAGTCAATAAAATGCCTGTGTGGCATGTCAATCAGCTGATAATCGTGTATTTTTCTTTGTACCATCATTACATAAATCGTTAAAAATAAACAACACACAATCGATTAATTTTATCGATTAGCTAGCACATCGCTTGTTCCGTAATAAGAGTAATGTTGTAATCTATTCGTATGTTTTAAGTTACGATATTTGAGTACTTGGGTACTTGCCAACTAGTCAAATTCAATACTTTTTTCGAACTGTCAAAAACGACAGTTTTCTATGAATTTTGTACGCAATTGTGTATTGTGACGTCACGTTTTTTTAGCATTAAACAGCATACTTATTTCATAAAAAATTGCTTGAAAAAATGAAGCTGGTTAAAAAATCAATGAATGAAAGTGTCATTATTTTTTTTATGTTTTATGGTATTGAACTATCGATATAATTTATTTTTGATTAAGGAAAGTACCCAATAGTGTTAAAGTAAAATTAGTATTTGGACGCTGCATTTAATGTGCAATAGTAGAAAAAAGAATTATGAAGAGAAGGCTAAAACAATAATTATTGCATTACAAATTCAATTTACGATATTACTGATATCGGAACTATGTCAGAACACTCGTTATAATTGTTACAAATATTCTTTTGCAGTAACCTGGGTAAAATAACAAATATTATTATGTCTTTAAGATGTTCAGAATCAAGTTTTAATAATTACTTTTGCAACTATTTCTGTTGAACAATCTAAGAGCTTCAATGCCATCAGTTCCCTGATCCTCCGTCACACAAGTTGTTTGGACCGCCACGTCATCTTTTAATGAAGTTCAATTTAATTACCATAGGTATTTGTACGAGTGCGCTCAGTTGCGGTAATCCGAATAATTACTGTTCATACATATTCAGCTCGTTTGTAAGTTAGTGTGATCTTTGTTTATTTTTCCCATTAATTGTTATTAATTGGTGTCGTATGCGGTATGATGTTCTAAAGGAATGACATCTTTGATTTAATGTATATTATTTTAATTGAGTAGTAGGTACTCAATGAGTCCTACCTAGGTAGTTGGTAATATTGTTAAGTGTTCCCTAAAGGAAGAGGTTCCGATGGTATAGTAAATGTGTAATAATGTAATTTCGAAAAAGTCATTGCAAACTACCACTTGTCTATACCTATAATTTAACGACAATTTACCAAGGAAATGCCTACAAGCAACTTCTAAGCATTAATTCCATATTAATCCACAATTAACTTAATCATTTAATTTTAAACTTTAAACGCTTTAAACTACCATTACTGCAATGGCAATGGCTATTTAATTTTAAAGGAAACTACGGGAAATTAAATGCGACGTGCTTCTAAGATCATAATTCCTATGATCCAAACACCGGACACATCTCCAGCGTAATTTGAGTGCATGAAACGGAAGGAAGCCTGTTTGTAAGTAGCTGTCACATTAGTATGTGACAACCGTCCGTCTGTTCAGACCTTCACCTACTTACTATATCATCTACCCGTGGTCATTGCAATCGTAAACGGAATTCGTCACATACTGCCATGCCTATGTGATACGCCCTTGTTGATATTGGGAACATAAATATCTAAAAAAACATTTTGTAATCAAATATTGGACTTCTTTATCTGTACAAACATTAATAATACCTCTTTTGTCGAATTTTGAACAAATCTGTTTTTTTTTCTAATGACTATAAATAAAACTGGCTGAAAATAAAACAAACTATTAGCACAGACCTCGTAAACGCAGCAAAGAGTTTTCTAAATAAAAAAAAAGTGTTTCCCAACTGCCAGATTTTTATTTTCTGATAAAAAATAAATTTTCTATTGGTAGTTATTTTACTAACAATAACTTTGTTAATTATAATAAAATTAAATAAAGTAACAACAATATTATTAGATACTGTCACACATTTTTATAAAAAAAAACAGTCAAAGACATTCCAATTTCAAATAAAAAGAACTATTACATTTCTTTTTAGTTTGACTTCTATTTTCTAACCCTTTTTCTAAGCTAGCATTTATTTTGATGTTGATTGGAAAACAAACTGTTTTTTATATTTCACAAAGGTCGTTTAAAAACAAAAATTTTAAGTAAAGGGTACGTACACGATTTTTTAATGAGATTTCTTAAATACATACCTAATATGATATTTGGATATTTCGTTCATGTGATATCTTGATACATTTTCCTACAAAATCTTGAACTTGATACATCAAAAAGTTTCCTGGAAGTTGTAACTTGACATAACATGTATTGTAGTGATAAAAATTCATACAAGCCAGTCGTATTGCCCTTGACCTTGGGGTCATAATTTCGTCTGAGTGACACATCAAGGGATCGTTAAACTTTTGTCCTACAGTTTGTACTACAACTGGAAACTATACAAGGTTGATACGTAAATTGTATTACAGCATTGTCTCAGATGGCTATTGTTTTGATGAAATTGTTGATAGGTAGGTCAGTTCTTGTTTTTTGCGGACGACGCTTGAACGGTGTACACGTATTATGAGATATATGAATATGGTGGAAACTAAATGTTTTTCTTTTTCAAGTACCTAATTCAATTGTTTTTCTTTTTTTTTTTAAACGTTGCCCCACACTAGGATTTTCCCCTGTGTCGTGGGTGCGTTTACAAACATACAAATTCACATACACATGACACCCAGACCCGAAACAACAATTTGTGAATTACACAAACAGTTGTTCCGTGTGGGAATCGAACCCACGACACGTTGCATGTGCAGTCAAATTTCATTGTTTAGAAGTTCGTATGATGGGAGAGTGTGGTGTATCCATCAATAAATTACTTTATTATCTTTATAAATAACTAGCTTTTCCCATGAGATGAAAGTGGATTATGTATTACTTCAGACCAATGTCTACCCTTGTTCCAAATTTCATTTGAATCCCTTCAGCAGTTTTGCTGTGAAAGAGGAACAAACACACACACACGCACACACAAATCCTAACAAACTTTCGCATTTATAATATAGAGGTAAAGTAAGATTTTGATGTAGATTACATTCATATGGAAACATTATCATATTACCATCTTCATACAGAGGTTTATAACACATAAAAATATTCCATACATGTTTCTGCTACTTCAAAATCTTGCAAACAAAAATTCGTCCTCTAAAACTAGGTACATAAAACCTAACCAGTTCTATTCAATCAAGATAACTATAACGTTTTTCCCTACACTAACACATGGGTCATAGTCTTGTGACATTATTACGAAAACAATGACACATTGGAAACTGTCACACGCACTTAAACATGAGGTATTTAAGTAAGCGTTTGGACGATTCCTTTTGCGACACTGTGTAATGCATGTTGGAGTAATTTGGACGTAATTACGTATGGGGACGGTAAGGGACGCGCGTCGCTGAGCCTACATGTACTAGGCTTTGATGACCTGCTTTTGAAGAGGATTTTAGTCTTATAGTTCTCTAGGTAAATGGTTTAGTGTTGTTTTTATTTAAATATCTAGTTTCTGATGTCATAATCTTCGTCTGTCAGTCTGCTCTCGTACCTACCTAAGAGACGGGATATGGAAAGAGGAGAAGGAGAAAGAAGACACTAATGGTACTAAACTAAAAATAATATAGAAATTATTACGTAAATAACGTACGTAACCTAGAAACTTAATTGTACCTAATATGATTAAGAGAGTGATCAAACGTCGGCCCATCAAATATATAAAAAAGTAAATATTGTTTATTAAAAGGTAATGGGAATCAGCATTTTCAATTATTTTTAGTATTAACTAGCAAATCCAGCGAACTCCGTTTCGCCACCAGATGGCTTCGTTTTATGTAACATTTCGTTTGGTGATTAAAAGATGAAGAAACATTTTTCCTGAATTTTCTATTTGTTATAAACCTCACGGAACCCGAGACCTTTCCAGCGAATGCAAAACCGTGGAAATCGGTTTGTGCGTTCTGGAGTTATAGCGTCAGGAAGGAAAACTCGACTTATTTTTATATAGTAGATTACGTTGCCATGTAGACTAGACGTGGTATTATTTCTATATAAAATTAGATAATATTGATATCATTATAGTATCAGCGCAATATATTTGTTAGCGAATTTATCTACGATATCTTTGAACCGCCCTACGCGCCGTCGCGTCTGAAGAAGCCGGGTACAAATTTCAGCGAGGGCTTACATGAGCAGAGTGGCGCAGTGGAAGCGTGCTGGGCCCATAACCCAGAGGTCCGTGGATCGAAACCACGCTCTGCTAACAACATTTTTGTTTCTACTTTCTTTCTTTCTTTTTCATTAAAAACTATTTTAATTTTTTTTAAAGTTCTTGGTTTTCTTGAGTGTAAATTTCAACTATGGGAATTGTTTTAATATTTTTTAATTTCTTGTCATTTTGGAACAGAAAAAATCTCAGATTTTTGTCATTTTGTAACTGGAGAACAGTCAATGGTTTTCCTTAGCTACGAAATTAGACTTAATAATTTATGTTTGACAGATTTAAGTTTATGTAAATACTGAATCAACGACAAAGTTGTAGCCTTCTACATATTTATTTCAAAGACTAGGAATATAACTTCTTGCGAGCAAAGGTTAATGACCTTATATGGTAATGTTAAACAAAAATATTATTCTTACGCAACTAAGCTTAAAGTTACCGTTAACTGAATGTTTCAGACACTGAAACGTTTTGAAATCAAGTTCAATATTTCAATTGAAGTAAAGATATAAATTAATACAAAAAGTAGTATTGATTTAGTTTATAAGTAACTTTTAAAATAAATTTGTTCCATCCACCACTATAAATTTAATTTATTTTGTTAAGAACACTGATCACACAAACTTACCAAGATTTTCTAACTTTATTGAGGAAATAGTATTCTTACTTATCTAAAAAGTCATATAATAAAATACCAACATAACATCACGCCTTTAATACCCAAAGGGGCAAAGACAGATACACATTGTGACACTTAATGCAACTGTACAATGTAACACCCACTTTTCACTATTTATGTTATGAGTCCCATAATAGGGGGTGAGCCTATTGCCAGCTTATGATTGAGATTTTTTCAAAACCTGCTAATACTTTGCCCGACCCGGGAATCGAGCACGAGAACCCTTGCCCGGCAGCCGCACTTGCGACCACTCGGTCAACGAGGGAGTCAATCAAATAAAGGACCTACTGGTAAATAAACATACTGCTTCAGGTCACGATTGCATGTAGGTACTTCAATTTTCATAGAACTTGTTGGCGTCTAAACAACTCTAATTGTATTACACCTTGTTTCCGTAAAAACAAAAGCGTTTTAATTGGTTTGTCAAATTCCAATCAGGAAGTGGATTCCACGGATGTTATACTAATTGCGAAGATGTTGATGTTCGAACGTTAATGTTGAAAAATCAATTGTTGTAGGCATTGAAAATGTAAACTGTCAATTAAATACGTACATATAACATAACATAACATCATGCCTTTTATCCCCGAAGGGGTAGGCAGAGGTGCACATTATGCCACTAGATTGTACACAATGTACTTAACACCCACTTTTCACTATTTATGTGATGGGTCCCATGTAATAGGGGGTGAGCCTATTGCCATACGTACATAGTGGTGTTGAATATATTTTTTAATTATAATGTCGGAATAAAAAAGTTATTTCAAACGACGAACCTCTTTTTTTAAAGTAGAGTAATTACATAGAGTGACAAAAAATATGTCAAAATAAGAATAAAATTTCTAAGTCGTAAATTGGTTAGGTTATTAATTTTCAGTAAGACTAAGGTAGAAAAAAAGTTGAATGACCCTATGAATAAATATTAAAGTATTTAATGATTCGGTATATTAAAAATATTTTTTAAACTTATAATCTGTGGTAAATATATTATATACTGCTCCTTGCATAAAAGTATTATAATTTTCTACCTTGATATCTAATGAAAGAAAAACATAAATAAAAAAATAAACTTACGAAGTAAACAGCCATATTTCACTTGACGATTTGACCCGCGCACTATAATGTACTGTGTAACAATGCGCGTGCGCCGGTCAGCTCACACTTATATGAGACGTTCGGGTTGCGTGTACGACGCTATAGGGATAAATTATACGCCTAGTATTATGAACTGATCTACTAACTTTTCACATATAAAAACCCATATATTAGAATATTCAGTCATGTAGAAATTGGTTAAAAAATTATTTATAGATATTCCGCACTAATAAGGAATAGACGTAATGAGGTTTTCTAATTTTTTAAAAGGTAAAGTAAACCACACATCACAATTGATTACTTAGTTTTTTTTAAGAATCACTGATTCGTTCTATTTGGTATATTTTTTGTATTTCTTTATTAAAAACAAAAATAGTGAGGTTCGTTATAGCTTGCGTTCATATTTCAACTGAATGAGACGAGTTTTAAGCTCTTTTGGGGCAGCAACCTATGACAATAACATTCTTAATATTCGTAGCGAATCGATTTGTTAAAGTAGGTATTCAGAATTTTATGTTTAACTGTTTTTTGGTTGTAACTTTGTATACGTAATAATCCCGTTTCTTTGAAAAAGTTGACTGGTTTCTTCGGACACATTTCTTCTTCTAGTATTATCCCATGTTATTTTGGGTAGTCACATTAGTGTATGTATATTTTTCCTATTCTATGATGATGAGAATTGCTGACGAACGTCATTTGGCATGTCTATTATTGTATCCTCAACGCCCCTCATAGATGCATAAGTAATGTTAGGAGACCAATGAAGACCACATAATAGGTCTACTTCCCAAATTCTTAGATATGCCTTATATGTTGCACTCAATTATTAGTCACGGAAATGTTTTATACACATTTGTTTTAAATGATTCTTCCGTTGTTAGCCGCTACAAGTGTAAGCTGAACATTCGATAGTAATCAATATCAACAATTTATTTTACTGTACAAAAATTTAGTCTGTCTCGCTGGCCGAGCTGGCCGAGGGTCTTGGGTTCGATTCTTGGGTCGGGCGAAGTATTACTGGGTTTTTAAAATTCTCAGTAGTAGTAGTAGCACGGAGACTGGAATTGTGCCCGGTATATGGAAATCGGCTCACCCCCTATTACATGGGACTCATAACATAAATAGTGAAAAGTGGGTGTTACATTGTACAGTGGCATAATGTACACCTCTGCCTACTCCTTCGGGGATAAAAGGCGTGATGTTATGTTCAAAAATTTTGTATTACAAAGTGCACATTTTTCTTGAACATATTTTAGTGCAAAATTATTCTATTGTAGAACAATGAAACTGGGTCATATTATGAAAAAAGCTATGACAATATCACAATAGATAAAATATTTTCTCGTAATATTCATAAAGATGTTGATCTAAATAACTAATGTTACCAATTGTGGATAGAACCAGTTCAATGACGACTTAGGTTGTAAAACTTGACATCTAGATGGAAAATCTAGGCTGAACTGATAAACTAACAAGCAGTTACAACATTATTCATAAGAAGGAAGTCATAAATAGGTTTTGTGTAAGAAAAGAGTGAAGTCCCAAGGTATTTTGAATAAACAATAGTGATCATCGGCATTGTCTACGAATTATAACATTTAATATATCTACAGATTTTATTATAAGTGTTCAAAAATGAATACGATACTCTTAGATTATTATTTTTCGTATGTTATGGAGGTATCGTTAGCTCGACTCAGGAACGAGATTTGGGGTTCAGTTAGATCAAAGAAAATTTTCGAAATGCTGCTGCCCATCACTGGCATCTATCGGTGGCAAGCTGCTCTTTTAATCACTTGATTTATCATAAGACATCCTATTTGTTGCAATCATCCTCTCTGTTGCTAATAAGTAGTAGGTAAGTAGATGTTTATAAATCTCTACACACCGAGAAAATACGGTCTATTTAATGTATAGCCAGTTGATTCATTGATTCACAATACATCTTCATCACTACATTGACAGAGACTAGGAAACATTGATGTATTAAAAGATAAGTTAGCGATGACTATTGTCGAGTGATTAGATGAACAAACAAACAAACAACCGCCTTGGTGTCTCACTATGGTAGTTGGCAACATGTCAAAATGATAAACTTGGGCAAATAAGTGTAGGAAGTTATGGCGAAGAAAATTATGATCATCCTTTGCTAACAGATGTAAAAAATAAAGAGTGAGTTTTTTCTTATGTTTGCATGAAATTACCAGATTGAAATTTACAGATTGGTTTAATTTAATCCATACCATGAAGCCATGAAGTAATAAACCTGCTAATTGGTATACAAATATTAGGGTGCGTCCACATCTGACGAATGCTTTTCTGCCGCCTGGGTGGACTCACCCGCACACTGTACCGCCGGGTAGGGAGTGTTATACTCTTACTGACTTAAAACCACTCCGTTCCTACTCCTGCCCTTCAAACCGGAGCCCCGGCAATCCGTTAAGTCCTCCGTGGGTCCATATCGGCATCAACCTTATTGGACCCCATCCGTGGTGGTCTGATGGCTCTTTGAGTCGCGCGCGGGACGCGACGCGCCGCACCCTCGGGTCTGGTAGATTGCGAAGAGCATAAAGATACGGTTCATTGTATTTACTTTAAGGTTTCACTACAGAAGGCCAAATAAACTATGATGACGCTTGATAACAAACATTACAGTCGCATTGTTTTAATTAATATTGTTGTTGCTCATTGTTATAATTACAATTCTACAATTAGAAAGTTTAATTTTCATTCTGTGGTTATAAAATACCGAACACTCACCATTGTCCAGTCACCACAATTTTACAAGACATACAATTTTGTCTCATTAACATAAAGTTTCATTTATCGTAATGACATAATATTGTGTTGGCGACCCAAAACTGTACTGACAATGCAAACGACATATTTCTCTCTTTGCCGGACATTGAATGGAAATTATGTAAAACCTTATTTTGTGGTGTAACAAATAATGGGAGTTGTAACAACTGTCCACGTGGAAGTAATCCCTTTGTGAAATTTTAACACGGTTTTGTAAAATGGCCTTAGAAGAGAGTATAGAGCGACATCTCGTGTTAAATACTTTTCGAGAAACTATAAGTTCATTTAACCTAAGAATGTTAAGATATAGACAAAGACCGCTTATTGTTTTTAATATTCTGGTGTTAATTTTTAGTCTAGTGTTACCATTCATAAGACAATTAAATGTATAAAGTGTATTTGTTTGTTTTTATTTCTTTCAAGTCACAATGGCGCGTTCTCATAACATGATATTTGTGTTTAGACATAGTTTAGATGTTGGTAGTGATACAGGGTAAATTATTCCGTTGACTAATCATGACTGCCTCATTGGCCGAGAGGTCGCAAGTGCTACTGCTTGGCAATCCCTTGGGTTCGATTCCAGGGTCGGACAAAATTTGTCTAGGTGTTTGAGTAGTAGCACGGAGTTTGTAAAAGTGCCCGGTATATGGCAATAGGCTCACCCCCTATTATATGGGACTCATAACATAAATAGTGAAAAGTGGGTATTACTTACAGTGACCTTAAGTGCAGTAATGTGCACCTTTGCTTACCCCTTCGGGGGTAAAAGGCGTGATGTTTTGTATGTGTATTTTGTTGATTACACAGGTAAAGCTGTGGTCAAAAAATTATTGATGTATAAAACCATGGTTTATCCTTACTTTCCTTACTTATATTATAAATCGGAAAGTGAGTTTGTTTGTTTGTTTGTTTGTTCCGCCTTCACGCCGTAACTACTAGACCGATTGCTTTGAAATTTTGCAAACGTAAAGTTAGAAGCCTGTATTAAATAATAGGGTACTTTTTATCCCGGAAAAAATGATATTTCCTAGAAAAAACAAAAATATTGGTGTAGATGGCGCTGTATGTACTGGTATAGATGGCGTTGTAAGTAATTTAAAACCAGTCAACGAATTACCTACTTATTGGAAAAATCTAAATAGCGCGATATAACCGAATCCCACGCGAGCGGAAAGCTATTTGTTTGTTTGCCTGTCTTAAACGGCAGAACGGAGGTACTAATTAACTTGATTTTTTAACCGAAGGTAGTTGAACAGACGGATAGTCACATAGGCTACTTTTTATTCTATTGTGACGCGAGCGAAGCCGCGGGTAAAAGCTAGTAAAATTATAAAAAAATATTTATTTAAACGTTGTTCCCAGAATCGTCTTGCAAGTCAGTGTTCCCTTGAACTTCTACAGTTGACTCAGTAAGTTTGGTGAGGAGTTTATATTTTTATTTACTTTGCGGTTGTCAACCTTGTTCCCGTAAAGTATATTCCATTGTATGTTTCTTGTGTATGAAGTGACGTGACAGGTATTTGCGTCAGGATCTGTTTGACCTGAATCAATTTGGCTTACTGAGGATTTACATACATATTTGTATTTGGTAAAGCTTCTATGTTAAATAAAAGGTGTTGTTGGTTGTAATGATTAATACAAAGTTTAAGTACGAAGAAGCATTATAATTATTTATCTTGATCACGAAATAGAACAATTAGAAATACAGTGATTCTATGGAATGCGCTACCCACAGAGATCAGGATGGCGATCAGTCGTTTATCTATCAAAACCAAGGTATTTACTGAAAAAATGACGGATTTGATTCAAACATAAGTTGTCTTTGTTATGTTATTTATTTTTACTTGGATATGTTTGTCATATAATATGAATCCATCTTTGAACTTCAACGAATATTTAAAAAAAAAATTGGCCAAATCGATATAGCTCTTCTCAAGCTATGGCGTGAATGCGGGAAATGGGTTTTATTTTTGTATATATGTATAAGATTAATATTTACTTAGTCATCTGCCATTTTCATCTTTGCACCTCCTAAAATAGAAATATTTATTTAGCACCAGGCACGATGCAAAAAAAAAAACAAAAAAACGTGGTTGCATTATAGTCGATACATTATTATGAAAGATTAATCTTGTACTGAATTATAGTAAGTATAAATGACGTAGTTATGTCTTAGTTCGAGTAAATTATGTAAAATCGTCTATTTACAATCAATGGAGTAGGTAAAAAAGTGTATCATACTACGTATAATATGTTTATACGTTCACATCTAGCCATATGAAAATGCAAATACTACACGTGGTATCGGTAATAGTTTGAGCAGATAAACACCTTGTTAATTCACTTAACTACGCACTAAAATATCAAAGGTGGGTTTTGGATGGGAAGTCGTTGCGTTACCAGCCTTTTGGATATTAGATATTTGAGGATTTTTGGGGATTCAGGGATTGGGGAGATTGGAGAGGGGGAGGGGAGCGTAATTGGGCCTCCGGTAACCTAACTCAAACGACGAAACGCAACGCAAGCCTTGTTTCACGTCAGTTTTCTGTGAGGCCCTATCCAGTATCCATCCAGCCATGTAAGGTTATATCATTCCGTTTGAGCCGGTCCATTCGTCTCAAAGCATGGTTCTTCCACACTAGGAGATCAGCGCGTTCAAACAAACAAAAAAGCAAACTCTTTCGCTTTATATAATAGTATAAGATATAAGATTCACTTCAAGCTTACAAAATATATCAATTTTCGATACTCAGGCCAAGCGCTGTATCTTTACCTATACCTATACAAAAAATGCAATAAGCAGGCTACGGTCAGATTAGGATCACATTAGTAATTCAATTTTTAGAAATTCAAATGCATATTGTTCGTTGCAGGGATTTCCTACATGAGTCGTGTTAGAGTTGATTCATTCCGTACTTATTCACATATTTTATTGCTTGTATGCAAATTGTTTCCTTATGGAGATTTTCCCTTTGCTTACAAAGAAAGTAATTTGTGAAATGGGGTGAATATCCCTCTTCCTTCTCTATTCACCTTCTCTATTACCGAATTTTTTGGTGTTTTTTTATGGAATAAGCCGGTAAATGAGCAGGCGTATCACCGGATGGTACAGCAATCGGCGCCGCCTGTGGGCACCTGAAATACAAGAGGCGTTACAAGTGCGTTACCAGCCTTTTCGGATTGCAAGCAAGCAAGCGTTGTTTCACGTCGGTTTTCTTTGAGGCCGTGGTATCACTCCGGTCGAGCCGGCCCATTCATGCCGAAGCATGGCTCTCCTACACTTAAATCTGATCTTGATCTTGAAGAATGGAATAGATTTTCCTTTTTTAGAGTCAGTCAAGTAAGACAATGTATATGTAGTTGTATAAAGCCTCTGCACTAAAAATGGCATAAGCCAATGGATTTGGGTCATTGTGGGCTACTCACAAACAACTGATCTGTAGGGCACTGAAAGAGGTCTACTTTCAACTGCAGTGGATATCTTGTGACTGTTATGATGATGATTATAAATGATTCATAATAATTAAAACAACAGAGACTTTTAACATTTTATTCCATTTATTTGTCTAAATAAATAATAAATACATTTTTGTCTTTGAAAGACATTTTATCACACTCTTTCACACAATTTCTCACTTAATAAACGGTTAAATGCACTCGTTCTGATAAAATATTGCTTGTATCGCGTAGTTTTATAAAATATAGCAAGTATTCTATTTCCATTACATTTGTTGATATTTTATTAAGAGTATTTAGTCTAGCAGTGACTATTATTAATACAATATTTTCAAAGCATTGAAGCACTTAAGTTTTTATATAATTGCTAGTTCTATTCGGTAACTATTGGTTATGGATATTGTTTTAGTTGGCTCACGTAAGGTAAGGATCTAAGTTTACTTTAAGTCTCACTGGTTTCCTAAAGTAAACTAACTTTATTATTTCTTTATGTTTAACACAATACCTAATCGTCATGCCTATTATTTATATTGAAAAGCTAAACTTATACACACATACCTACACTGTTTTATACTGACTATACTAAGGTAAAGCGTAAAAATGGACACATTCGTGTCTGATGTCAGACACAAGCTACCGATGAACGTTTGATTTCGTGTGTAAGAATTCTTACACATACTCTAAAATAGCATGCTAGAAGGGGAGAAGAAAAATTGAACGCCTATCGATTCCCAAACATGCCTGAAATGAGCACGCTAATTTAGAGCAACATTCCGAGACATATGCTAATAAGTCACAAGTGCTCAACTAAAATGGAAGAATGCTTTCAAGCTTCAAATCAGCACGTGTCTTTATTTTATGATTGATCAAAAAGTGTTTAGTATTAACCCTAACTAGAAAGAAAAAGTGTCTACGTTTGCGCAGCGCCTAAAGAAGAGATCTATTGTAAATGCACCATTAACTACTTACAAATAATAGGCACAACATGACTATTAGCTAGTTAAACTAAATTAAACTCAGTTCCTCGAATGGTTGACCTGGAAATTAATGCCCAAAGCTGTTGGATCAACTCCAGCTACAGCTGTAGCTATAGGTCTAGCTAGTGCTACACCAGAAGCTGCTACTGCGGTAGCAAGGGGTCTGGAAGCTGCTAGACCATGCTCTCCAATAACTGCAAGACCTAGAATAAATAAAATATTATATTAATTTTATTTTTATGTTATACAATTTAAAATGATAGTCGTAAAAAAAATTGTGGTCTCCAAGTTTGTATCTTTTTTGGTCTTTCAGAGTTGAGACAGTTAAAAATTAAAAAATTGTAAAGATATGAGTGTTTTATAAGTGATTATCAAGCGTCAGATAGTTGTTTTTTGTAAAGCCCTGATTATTAAGCATTACACATCGTGGCTTTGTAAGATATACGAGTAGCGACATCTCACGATCAATTGTGTAACCAGTAACTCTATATCGGCTAAGCCTTACTACTCGTATTCGACTTCGCCTTTCGTAGCGGTATAGTTAGTTTTAACATTTTCCGTTGGCAGCACCGTCAGTTCTTACTGAGGTATAATAGTCAAAAGTTATGATAACTTACCAACTGGTTTGGCTTCAGCTATGGTTCCCTTATTAAGAAAACCATCACCGTCACTGGAATCTTCATCATCTGCAGATTCAATGCCAACGCCCTCTTCAGCAACCTGAAAATTAAACGGTATTTTAAGGTTAAATTAGGTGTATATTGATTGGCATCTGGTTTGTTTTTATATAAAAATACTAAATAGGTCATGTGTGCAAGTGCTACTTAACAAGTTTTCAAAGAAACAGTGACTACCTATTTAAACAATAATAATTATTTAATCTACTGTTTCTGGCTATGACACTTATAGGGTAACATAACAGTTGATAATTAATTATGTTTGCTTGTGACTAGTATCGGAAACATAAATGACTTGAAAATATTTATATATTTTGGTGTTTTCAACATAAAATACTTACGTAATCATCGTCCTCATCGTCATCTCTAGCTTTCACAGTGGTATTTTTCTTGAACAACATATTGACGTCATCCACTTCTTCTATCAGCTTAATCATGTTCGAAGCAGCTTCGCCCAGCGATGCCAGCTGAGTCTTATACCTTGCCTTTTCCACGTTCCCTAAGGTACCAGTTTTCCGTCCAAGGTTATGCAGTTTGAGCAGATTTGTTGAAAGTGTTCTAAGGTTTTGTAAATTCGCAGCCATAACCTTTGCTAGCAGATTCTCATTGCTATTATTTTTGAGAATGTTTTCACTGCTGATGTTTTCTTCAGAAACTATTTTCTCCCCAGTTATTCTACCCAGGTTGTCTTTCTTTATTTCTAAGTATTGCCCCTTGGCGCCGCCGTAGAATGGCACATATTGTACCGATGCGCTATAAAGGATAAACGAGAACTTATCAAGTGTAATTCTAAAAAATTCAGGGATCTGTGATTTTTTATTAAATTTTTAAGGTGTGTCTAGACTTGTCCATATTATTTAAAACAGTGATAATTATATGTAATTGTAGTATGCCAAATCCTAAGAGTACATGATATTAAACAGATTGTGGGTGTAAAAATCAGGATATCGGATGATGCCTTATTTGTCTAATTCTTCGATTTGCGTGAGCGTCACCGTTATTTTATGCATCATTGGTATAATCTGTTAAGGCTAGTGACCTATTGTAAGAATGTTTGAATTACATTATTTTGTGGCATTGAACTTTATTATTCATAATATTTATCTTTTAAACTATATATAATAATAGTCTGCTTTTTAAATGACTCAGATCAGCAATCTATTTTGAAATGGGAACAAAATATATGAACAACAAATTTTAAACGAGATAAATTTGTTTGAGCTTTATAAATGTCTTTAATAACATATAATAACATATTAATATCATTTTAATTGGCCTTAACCCAAACGACATGAGAGAAATAAAACAAAATACTTTAATTATATGTAAATTTATTTCACTATCACTATTTACATAAATCTTTTCAAGGTACAATCAATTCGGAAATCAATTTTAAGTTTACAGTCAAAATTAATTTCCGATCAGTTCAAATCGAAACAATTCTTTGTTACTACTTCTACTTCTTAGTTAGTACACCATTATCGTTGGTTAACAAATTCATAAAGATAAAGATCTGATTGCGCGTGAGCCACGCCACCAGGGCCTGCAACTGCAGTGGCTAAAGGTGCATGGAGTATAGTACCACTCTGGTTCCTTGCAATCACAACTTGGGAGATGGGATTTGCCAAGGCAGTGCCTTGGGAATTCAAAGCGTGAGCAATCGGTTTTATAAATAACATGAACGTCGTATCTTCCATGTTCAAGGGCACTTCTTGAAAATCCATGCCATTGTATATGTACTGATCTGAACTCTTCATTTCTCTGCTCCATTGTCCGTCTCTTCGCCATCCTCGTCCGTAGTATCTAGTGAGTGAGAAAGAGAACAGTTAATGAGAAGGAAGACATGAAAAATGATTGGGTTAGTAGAAAATGACTATCGTTTGTTAGGATGGTAATAAATAATAGGGCCAGTAGCTACAATTTTCCCTTCAGGTATAGCTTGTAATAATTGGGAAATAGAACCGTCTATTTTACTTTGTGCTTGCAGACGATGTGCTATGGCAGTGAGATCAGCATCAGGCGACAATGCTACAATTCGAGCTGCCGGTCCGGCTACAGCAAGTCCTCCTGGTTGAGTATAGGCTAGACCTCCAGGGCCCACAATTGCAGTTCCTCCTCTTCCAGCAGTGGCCACTCCTCCTGGACCAGCTATAGCAACTCCACCTCGCCTCACTTTTAATCTATTGATGAAAAAACCCGGCCCAGTTGGTTGTCTGTATCCATTTTTGTTTCCGAAAAAATCTAGGAAGCCAAATCGAACATCTCCGTCATCTTGATTAACAGTTTTAGTGTCTTGTGTAACAGGTTCCCGTTTAGGAGGTTTAGCAGTTGTTGAAGATGGTTTAACGCCGAAGAATTTATTTAATTTAGCTGAATCAATATCTTGTAATTGACTTCCCTGAGCAACAGTACGTTTCTTAACTGCCCTTTTTTGTCTTGACCTTAAATTGGTTTTTGAGTTAATAATAATGTCCGAAGGTTTTTCAGCATCATCTTTAGTTTTAACAACGTCTTCTATCATTGTTTCAGTTGATTTTTGTCTTCTACATACATCGGCATTTTGCCCATACTCAATAAAGTTGTTCCACCCTCCACCGTTCATGATACTAAGTAATGGATCTCGTATTAGAATAGGAAACAAAGGTGCAAAAGGCCATTGAAATGGTGGCAGTGATGGAAAAGATGGAAATGGTGAAGGTGACGGTGATGGACCTTCTTTAGTTTGGATTTTTGTCGCATACTCTGTAGGGTTAAAATTGTTTCCGTACATAGTATTCATAGACGGCATAACAAGAACAGGCATATTCATTATGTATGCACCGGGCATAACTGCCATCTGTGCTGGATTCCCACCGTACAACGATGCCAGCTGTCTGGAATATCTTGTGTCGTCTAACTCTTCGTTACTGATTATGTTACTCTCTTGCTGTACATGGTTAGCATGATTCAATTTTCCAGAAGCAATAACTTGCTGGAGTTTTTCTAGAACTTCTTTGTCAAGAACGTATTCTCCTCCTGATTGAGGTGGAGCATTCCATTGAAATTGATGTTTTCTGACTGGTTTCTTCAGAGCATCATTTATAGCTTTTATCTTTTCTAGTATATCTTTGGTAACATCTTCGTTTTCTGTATTAGTTACATCATAAGCTAATGATCTTTCTCGTTCTGCAGCTTCGTTTGTTAAATCTTTGTTAGTTGTCGCCAATCTGAAATGTACATCATATTTTCTGTATATTCGAATGCATTTTAAAATATTTGCTTTACCATTATCCATAAGCATTATTGTTTTAGCGTGTAAATCATTAAGCGGTGTCGAAGCTTGTAATATAGTTTAAGTGGACCATACCTGAACTACTGCAGATCCCGTGTTGGTTTTCACAAATATTCTAAGCAAACTACGATTTATGTTAGTTGTGCTGTTTCTATATAAATGTGCGTTTCTACTGTCTTCACACGTCCGTTAATATTTTAAATTGAACCGTACCGGGTTTAAGTATTTTTGTATTCTAAATACGATTAAAATAAAAATGAAACTGACATCATTGTACGTCTACAACCAGAACATTATCATATAAATAATTCAGGAATGATACACTTCTTAAATATGCCATTTTTAATAAAATGTTGTATAATATTATTTGGTACATGAAATCAAGGAATGTTTATGTTCCAATTGAGTGAAACGAAAATGAATATGATGATGATACCATGATAATACCAACGGTGACAACGAAATCAGTTTCAAGAATTAATTAATAGTGATAGATTAGTTTGTGTCATGTGTCATAATTACAATTGTTTTAAACTTAACGTTAAATTGGTTTAATTTTTATCTACATCTACAATGATTATTCAAGGTGGTTATTTTGTTTAAAATAAGACTTACTCGTTGTTTGAAGGCCTCGATGATACTTCCAGGCAGGAACACGCAAGGAGCACCTGAAATAATGAAATTTTTATTTAGAAGAAGATAAAAATGAATTTAGTGTAGTTCAGGAGAACAATAATAGGCGTAGAGTTACATCATGAACGAAACACTATGTCCAATAGTTTAGTATAAAACTTAAGTATCAGAACATCAGCAGATTTTTATTTGTCAACATCAATAAATTAACATTAATTAGCCCTGTTTTGTATCATTTCCGATTAGGATACACTTTCTAGTGAAAGCCATACCATAAATGATTCCGTAATAAGAATTGAATAATTAACCCTACTAAGTCATTAGCTAAATCAACATAACAATTTTCACTAATATTAAAATGAATGGTTAATTTTAACGATAAGCGTGGTAGCATGTATCTGTCTCCAAAAGAAGTTTTTCTAATCTAGACGAAAAGAAAGTGAAATGGTTTAAGATCGAGGTGAAACTCCGCGTCCGGTGCCGCTTGAGCACCTACCGGTTTCAATGTATCTACGAACAATTGTATAGCAGATTTTTTATGACAACTCGTTTGCCTTGTAATGTTAGCAAGTTTAAAGGGCTTGGAACTTTGAATAGTTCTGGTGTCTAGTCTGGAGATGGCAATGCACCAAGTGTTGATTAGGAGATATATATTTTTATAACTACATACCAGTCTTTTTTTTTAAGGGGGAAAAATCATCGAATGATTGCTCCCGCCTGGGTGAGGCGGGAGGTAGTGTCAGACTTTTACTGACTAAAAACCACCCCGTTCCTTCTCCTGTACTTCGAGCCGGAACCCCGGTTACCCGTTAGGTTCTCCGCGACACTACATACCAATCTATCCTTGACAATATAGTAAATTAATATGGTAATAGTGTTTAACATAATCTGTGTCTCTAATATTATTATTTCCGTAGTAGTACTTCTCAGATCAAAGCTAATACGAATTGAACAATAACAATAGTGAATCACCGTTGGACATAAAATTTTACGATCTTAAGGAAAACTTTACCGAAACAATATTTAAATTATAACGGATAACGCATCGATACAGGTAACTGTGTCAAATGTTGATACTGTTTTGGCGTTTGCCATGAGAGAGGCTAGGTCAAGATGAGAGCGGAGAAGTACAAACATAGAGCTTGTAGTCTTGGTGCTACCGTGACGTGTTAGCAAATAAGTGACATGTAAATCAGCTGTAGCATAGAATTCATGGACACAAAATAATGAAAAATTCTACATTACATACCTGGCATAGTCAACCTTAGGATTTAAGTATCTATTCTAATTCTACCTTTGTTTTTGTGTCTTCATACTCTTAATCTCATACAATATGATGGTGTTCTATATGATCAATTTTGCTATAGAAAACAGTCATTTTCTAATAGGTATATTATATTGTGGATTTTGTTTATATGTATCAGTGTTTATATTATTATACGCTTCTCGCTATAGCTACAACCTCACCTTATTTGAAATGACGATCACCTAAGAAGGCAATTACTGGGTCACGTACATCGTTGTGTAGGTATTTGGCAGTAGTCCCGTTAGCTTTACTTATTTGTACATATTGCCAATTGGTGGTTAGGTGCAAAAAATTAGACCGCTAACGTTTTACCACTGGTGTCTGCCTGTTACAAGTGCTTTCTTCTATATGTGTGAGAGATTGATGTGTTGACGTTGTAATTGCCAGTGTCTTTGTGTTTGAGCATTCTGTCTGTATGTCAGGCATTATAATTATAAGGTTCATTAACACTGCGGTTTGGAATTAGAATGTTATCGATGTCAGTGACCTCAGAATTTTTTTTAATGTGTCGTAAACAGCATTAGACCTGATGTAAACAGATATTATCTAGTTTGTTTTTACTGAGACAATAGTCGCACCTTTAAAACAGGACATCTACTTGTAGATAAAATATTTGCTTTTCTATGCGGTTGGTGTGTTGAAACAGTTAACATAATATTCTGTACATCATTTCTATCATAGTTACTTTGTTAGAAACTCCACTTTCATACATTTAAGGGCAAGGTCATACTGATCTTGCATTCAAACAAGAGCTTATCTATTTAACGTCACATATTCATCTACACGTAGCCTTATATGGAACATAGGTAAAGTTAATATTATCTTCACAGTAAAATCTTTTGAAAGTATCTTCCAAGAAGCGTTCTAGGTAATATACGATATGGATTCTGAGTTTTGAACTAAGTTTAATGAACTTTAACTTTGATCTTTATGAACGTAGCAACAACGTGCTAATTCCCTTTTAAACAGTTAGTGTCTGAAAGTCTGTAACATTCTTACACCTATCATGAAAACGTTTCAAGTGAAATTATGAGATAAATATAGTGACAATATTGAAGTAGAAAATAACAACGACAATTTTCTTATACCATAATTAGTAAAAGAGAATCGAAACGAATATGGTTATGAACAATGACCAGAAGTAGTAAAATACACTCTTTTATTGTTCAAAGAACTTATAGAAAGATGTGAAACTAAATGTCGCCATATTACTTAGAAGGCTCTAACAAACAAAAGAGGTTTTAACCTAATGGTCTGAACTTAGTTCCGGCTAACTCTAAAGGGCAGACCGGTCATGTATGAACTTGAATACCAATTTGGTAGCTAATCTTAGATCTTGGCGTGTCTATCTTAATTGTTTTATTGTGTGACTAGCTTCATTTGTGTAACAGTTTTATAGTGATTTGAACACTAGGCAATTTGGTACAAAATATTAAAATAATAAGGCTCTTTCATCGTTCATTTTGTAGTAAGTAAACATCATTTGTTAATTTAAATAAATGATATATTTAATTATCATCTTGTAATACATTTCTAAAATATGTAGTACCAATTTAGTTACACATTAAATTGAGATATAAATCTCATTAAAAAAGGTCTGAATTAATCTCAAGTTTCTCATTTAAATTATAAATTTTCCATTGATATGTATTAAAGGAACACGCAACAAAGATGAACCCTTTATTTAGTCACTAAAAATAATTTGTAAAGGATAAATCGTGCATTGATAATCAAATATTAAATTAAAATCTACATTTTAATAAACATGGCCGGCGTGTAAACACAGTCACAATAAATAAAATAAGACTTGCGTGCAAAAAACATCGTTAATATTAGTTGCAGAATTGATTTGGAAACAGTGAAAGTTTTGATAAAATTCGCCCATTATACTTTTATACTGATCTGAATATAGAATGTTGTTTTGTTTTTATTATGCGTAAAAAACATTCAATATGCATAAATAAGCAATATGGTCACGGCCTTTGTGAACCCTAAGTCAGATTTATGATTTGATGTATTTTAGTTGCATGTTGCAGCTTAAACACTTCTATAAGAATAATCAAGGGATATATGTGTGGAGTTATACCGTACTTCTATTGATAACTTGATTAGGAATAATTCATTTATTTATGTAGGTAGTATATATCTAAGTACGATGAAAGTTTAATATAGATAGGTTTTAAGTGTGGGAGTGAGCATAGCTCATGCTTCGGGTGCATGGGCCGGCTCGACCGGAGTGATACCACGGCCTCACCGAAAAGCGACGTGAAATAACGCTTGTTTTGTAATTCGTCCTGTGAGTGAGTGACCAATTATCCCCTCTCCCCAGTTTCCCCAATCCTCAAATTCCCAATTCCCTAAAGGCCTGTAACGCACTTGTAACGCCTCTGGTGTTCCAGGTGTCCATGAGCGGCACCGATTGCTTACCATCAGGTGATCCGTCTGCTCGTTTACCGGCTTATCCAATAAAAAAGGTAAATGTTTATTGATTGAAATATAATTCTAGGACATAGTATGTTTTTGTAAAATTGACATATTTGGGAGTTGGCTTTCGAAGTCTAGGAACAATTTATTTAATAGTAAGAATATTTCCAATGACGTTTCTTTAAATAGTAAAAGTGACATTTTTAACATTTCCTTTGAAAACAAGTTGCGTCGGAGTTGAAAGTTGGAAATTATGTTTGTCAGTAAAGAGGGCAATGTGTATGCACGCAATGTTTGTTATAATTTAAGTACAAGAGTGTAAGTCAAGTTATGATTCTGTGAGATAATATAGAAAGTGATATTTTGTATAGAGCTCTGGTAACTTTTTTTACTTTCTCAGTATACAAAGAGGGTTTTTATTCGTCGTGCTCGCTTTTTCTTAAACTCAAGAAGTAGCAAAGGTTTTATACAGTCGCATCCAGTCAGAGATAAGCCATCAAATTGTGTTTTTTATTTTATTTTTAGGAGAAGTAACCCTAACTGAAAATGTAGAGTATTTCAGTAATCTGCCTGATTTAATTTAAATTAAAAGTAACATAGTGTTCACGTGCTAAAAAACTTCACACTCCTCTTTTGGAGACATCGCCTAAAAAGCTAAGAGGCCAAATCTTTCAAACTCAACAAACACTAATTTGGCCTAAAACAAAGGCAAATTCTGTGTAAAAGAGTATAGGTATGCATACAAGTTTGTTTTAGCTTAATGACTTAGGTAAGTAAAGAGGTTTTTGTCAAGAGGTTGCTTAAAAGGTTAGGTAGGATGAAATGAAATCGGAGAAGTCACGATCTTTCTAAATATATTTGATAGTTTTTTTTGGTTCTTTATTTTGAGGCATTATTTAAACGTTTTTGACAAGAATTTTTAAAGAAAATTAGATGATTGAGAATTACTCTCCAAGTAGGAGAGGCAGAGTGTAGTGTCTGTAGTGACATAACTACACTTAAGCGCGACTTATTATATCTGACTAATAAATGACAGGGCAGAAAGCCTGCCAGACACAATAACGTCGCCTGATCGGATGATCCTCCTTTTCCAATCTTAGGGAACTTTATTCCCTGTTCCTTAAGCCTCATAACTAATTGAGCGAGCGAGACAATCACTTGAACTAGGCATACATTCAATTCCTTCTCTGGTTTTGTTTAAAAATCACCAATATGAACCAATTAAATGTATTTACTAGGTACCTAGATAAAATATCAACATGTAGTCACGACTCGCGACATTTTCGAACGTGAAGTACAAAAATAGAAATAGTTCATGCGGCATTGACTATTAAGTGCATTAAGCTGATCATGTTTTAGTAACCCGTTCCATTTGTTAACGATCTTGAAGTAACAGACTGATATGTACAATCGATTCTATATACGTCCTTATTAGTGTTTTGATAAGGTAATGCTCATCTCGTAAATATTTTTTATGTGATAATTTATTTATTGATAAACTATTAATAGTATGCATATGCAGTGTGTGTATTTTACTTTAGGGCTGTAGGGCCCAAGTGCACATCTTCTTTACAAATAAATTGTAAGGAAGTCATCGAAGGGCTGGCTACTACCTCGGTCAAAGGTTAAATATTGCCATCCAATGTGGCAATGCCAGCCTTTTGGTCACATTACCTTATGACAATGATGAGGAAAACTTTTTTGATGCGCTATTATAGTATTTCCTTTATTTTTTCTATATTTCTCATGTTAATTTTAGTTGTAAATACTTTAGTTTTTATTTAACTTAACTCTAGTTATTTATTATTTAGTTTATATTTATATATAGATTAGTTTACGTAACATACTATTAGTAAATATTTAATTATTATGTATTTCCAACCAAATTGTTCTTTATTTATACAATTTTGAATGAGAAAATGCGAGCTGTTTTCCTATATAAAATTGAACGTACAATGAACATGGTTTGCCGAAAAACTATACTAACTATAACATATATGTAACTTAATTATTATGCATTAGGTATCGTTTGTTATTGGGTAGATACTAAAAATAACATTATAAAATATGTTAATCTTAGTTTGTGGGAACAAAAGCTAGTATTGGATTTAGTTCTTGTTATTTTGATACAACCTCTTATGACTACTAATTTAGTATTAACACAATACAAGTGTTATTGCGCAAGAGTTCAATCCTTATTTTAATCGTTAACTTAAAAAATTGTTTGCATTGATAATTTCCTTTTCAGAAACTAATATAACGACTGTTTAATATTTTTATTCTGATTGTCATATCTCAAGATTTTTTCAAAGAAATCTAAGCCCACAAAGGGGACTCTTAGTAAAAAGATTTATTATCAAAAAATAGGATATCGCGGGTCATAGAATTTTTCCTTTCAAATGAAATATATTCATTTATATTTATATACTTAGTTACAACTACAATGTTATAAATTTCCAATGGAAGATCTTAGTTTGTTAATAGGTAAAACGGTCAAGTTTTGTTTGTTAACAAATTTTGTTGAACTTGAATGGCGTCAAGTGTACGAGTTGGTGACAAGTGTGGACCGTTCAGCATTCTGTAACGACAGAATGCTGATATTTTTTTATACTTAATCACTTTTAGGCTTATAGTAGAAATTGACTTGTTTTTTTATACTGATTTCGTAAACTGATTATAATGTGTACATATGGTTCTACTAATTAGCACTATTAGCAATGGTTAGTTACTTAGATACTCTAAGGTTATTTGGACTGAGGCTTAGCGACAATTTTTCCTTACTTAAAATCTTATGTGTAACTAAAACGCAGGTTTTTGTTAACAATAAATAATTTTCTCAATTTAAAAAATCTAATTATTAATTTAATCTTGAATCTAATTATTCGTAAATGTGTTGGAACTTACCGCAATTCCAAAAAGATAGGGCCGCGTCATGTTTCCAATTAAAAATATCGATGATACACTGTTTCCAAATTATTGTGTGTCGGTATTTAAAAATATTCAAATATGGAACACGTGCGGTCACTCGCGCTGTCCACTGGCGAGTTTGAAGCTTTAACCGCGCCGCCAGCTTTTTGCTCACTGTCGAAAATGAATTTACCACGAGTCTACATCTCGATAGCTTACAATATTGATTCAAATGTTCGAGTTACGGATTTTTGATTTTTTTACCGATATTGTTTTTGGAGTATCCTTGTTTTAAAAATATTGAACATTACTTTGAAATTTCATTCAGGTATCATTTATCATTACCTATCATTAAAATTCTGTAGTGTGTTAATAAGTTTGAACTGTAAGAACTTATTATTAATAGATATTTTCCATAAACTATCATAGTAACGTTCATACGTGTGAAACTCAACTCAGAACTACTCTACGTACTCTATGAAATATGTTACGAGCTTAAAGTAAGATAGTGTCACTCTCACATACGTGTAGACAACTAAGATGTTATCGATAGAAATAAGTTTCGAGTTACATTAGTAGCTTATGCTTAACAGGGATGCGAATTGTGAAAGTAGATATACCAATCTACCTTTCGAACTGATTCTTATACTTATTATACAAATTAGAAGAAGCTTCACAGTAGGTTATAATATTCTCCAAATCGAGTAAAACTCATTATTTTTAAGTAAGAGTAGTAAACCTAATGTATCGGTGAAAAAGTTAATAGTTATCTTTCCTTATTTTACCTGTCTGCTTTTTGGTACCTATTGATATTTTGTCCTTAAACGTGCGAAATGTTGGGTTAATTAATATTTATGCTTGTTTCACGTCAATCAAGCAAGTCTCGATCCTTTTTAATTGCGTTCAAACTTTTAAGTCATTAATATCAACAAAACGATTTTATTTATTTCTTTATTCCATTGACAGCGGTCGTATCAATCATCTTGTTGTAAAAAATAATCAGATCAATTTGACGAGTAGGTATTTTTAACATGTTTCGTTATTTGATGACAGGTATTTTTGGTAATTATTTTTTACAATGTGGTCCAATTTATAATCTAACGTGTTTCAAATTATCAAATAGTCTTTTAATAGAAAAATCAATAAATTAAGCAAAATTAATGACAATTTCGACTGTTACCAACAGTGGGTGCCCTCAGTCAACGTTCATTAAAGTATCGACATCGGTACGGCACCTGCACATCACTAAATCGAGTACCGTATTACAATCACTTTTAAATTAACTATTCTTGAACTTGACCTTGGACTTTAAAGACTGACCCAAATATCAGCTTGTAGTTTTTGTTTATTATGGTAATTAATATAAATTATTAATAACTGTTTTGATCTATCATATTGAAGGAGTTCCTTCAGGTAAGTAATTATTTAAATATAATAAACGAGTATACAAAAGAATGAATAAATTACGACCATTTTATTAAGACACACGGAACTCTTCAAATATTAATTTTTCTAGAGACAATCTGTACACACATCACTGAGTTTAGGTTTCAATATAAATTGGTTATACCTTCTCTGTGTTTTGACACTTGAATGATACAAACCATTAATCTTGAATTTAAAATTCTTTTGTAGACAAAGTAAGTAGTTGTTTTAAAATAGAAGAAATTTAGGTTTTAGAAAATAGAAATTTATTATTATGAACGGATGTATCAGCTTACAACATGCGTGTATACTTATTTGTGGGGATCAAACATTTTTTGTCAAACAATGACAAAACTTATGGTTCACAAAATATAAAAATCGGTCAACCAGCTGTTGAGTTATTGAAGTACATGATTATTTGTCAATATACAAGTACTTTTATTTATCATTGGATTTGATAAATAACTTCTGCCTCGCACAGTAATACTGTGGAATGATCTGTCGTTGGCGATATTACCGAACCGATACGACCTTCAAACCTTTAAGAAAAGAGCATATTTGTTTTTAAAAGGTCGGCAACGCACCTGCGACTCCTCTGGTGCTGCGGGTGTCCATAGGCGGCCGTGATCGCTTACCATTAGGTGATCCGTCTGCTCGTTTGCCTCCTATTCCATAAAAAAAAAACAAAAATACATAGGTACATACATCTCACTGCTGCTTGGGAAAGTGTTTAAGAAACGTTATTTTTTTAAAGAGTTTTTATAGTTTATATCCAACATCACCAGAATTATTACTTAAATGTATGTCATACTCGTGTTTGTGTCTTTCCTCGAAGTCTTGTTGAACAACTTTCTTTGCCAACACTGTTCAACGGTCACTAATTAGGTAAGAGTATATACTTGACCGTTTCGGTTCTATATTATCTAGTGTGACATCTTTGTCGCGGAGAATCTAACGGGTAACCGGGGCTCCGGCTCGACGTGCAGGAGAAGGAATGGGGTGGTTTTTAGTCAGTAAGAGTCTGACACTCCCTTCCGCCTCTCCCAGGCGGAGGCAGTTGCAGCAGGCAAAATTCGATGATTTTCCCACCTAAAAAAAAAATTGTGACATATTCAACTTGTTCAATTTTCTCGAAGGGCATGGCATGATACACGAGTACTTGTATGGTCATAAATTCGCACATGGCTTGATATTTAGTTACCGTGAATTGTTTTATTGACTTATGTATGAAATTTTGACATTGTACTGTACCTGTAACTGTACTTATTGTGATAGTCGTTCTTAAGGACTGCTGATGATACTATGTGACTTAAGTGTCATTTACGCAGTTAAAAATGTGTAAAGTCGCGATCTTTTTTTCAATCCACCTACTAATTTACGCAAGTTAAAGTTGAATTTAAGCAATATTGTTAGCAACTAAACAATATTGACTGCCACTGGTTTCAAAAAGAAAGACCAAATAATACCAAATAAGACCAAATATAATTTGATAATATATTGTTATTTTTTATGTGTATAAAAAAATATTGTATAAAAAATTTGATTATTTTTCTAATCATACCTGTGTAATTTTAATTAGGGTAGATGTTTTATATGTATCATCTTTGATGATCCTTGATTCATCAATAACATGTACGGTACAATCTTGATTTATTCGAATATTTCAATCATTGATAACAGGAAATTAGATAATTTAAGTCTGTTAACTGTTGAGTCGTGGAAATATTTAAAATTCTTCATACATATTCATCTTGCTCAGTGATTAAAATGGATATAGAGTGAAGCTTTGTGACTTTTATGATACCTCGCCTATTTTATAGCTTTGAGTTTCCGATACTCGTAACATTAGGGCAATGATCTTTATTTTGTTTTTAATTAGAAAACATTCGTTTTAAAGAAGATGTTGCTATCTTTTCCTAGCTAGGTATAGATATGTTATTATCTTAATATTACCTATTTAAGGAATTGCTCTAATGTCCAAATACTCAAACGCTAATCTTGTTACTACGTCGCGGAGAACCTAACGGGTTACCGGGGCTCCGGCTCGACATACAGGAGAAGGAACGGGGTGGTTTGTAGACAGTAAGAGTCTGACACTCTCTCCCGCCTCACCCAGGCGGGAGCAGTCATTCGATGATATTCCACCCTTAAAAACAATTTTGTCAGTACAAATTCTTTGTAAAATGACAGAGATACCACGATATTTAAATTATTATTATACAATTTAAAATTTAGTAGTCTTTCAGTATTCGAACGTAATTATCGTAAACTAATCATTCTCTTTTTGGGGTAGGATAATGTTGGTTTCATTTATAGTCGTCTATCATTGACTTCGATGAATTTTGAATTTAACTCGCTTCATTATTTCCAGACGCCAGATTTGCAGACGTATAATTTCTACCTCATTATAAAATTGTGTAGACGAAAGCCTACCTACCTACCTTCGAGTTTAAGATGATTTTGGTTATTCTCGTATTGTATTGAAGTAAAATAAGCCAGGTGTACTATTGCGTGCTGGAACTGTGGATATTTTTAGACATCGGTTATTATTTACTCATTTGACGAGTAAGTATGTAGGAATAAAGAATAAAGAACGAAACTATGTATGGTGATTGCTGTTCTTGTCTGTATTAACGTCTGTTGTTTAAGTTGCATACATCTTGTATTTATATAGTTAATAGAGAATTGGATGATATTCGGATCGTTTATATCAAAACATTCGTGAGACATATTAAATTAATTATAATGTTTTCAGCTATGAATATGAGCCTCTAGCATGGCTTAGCATTAATCGAGTTTTTTGTCAAACAGTTACGATATTCGGATTTATCAATTTGACAATACCATATCGAGAACAGGACATAATTAACTGATTCTTTTATGGATTTGATGCGAAAAAAAAATGTTATTTTATGGCTACTATTATTTTTAGCTTTTCTTTAACATTTTAGATTAACGACACGTATGTATGTACACGTACATATATACATAAAAGGTTTCTGACGATTCTAAATTTGTTCAAAGAAAGATGTTATTTAGGTACATTTATTTAAAATAGCTTTTTCAATTTACCGATTTAATTCCAATTTTTCTAGATGTTTATAAGTTTAAAAGTACTTTTATTTATTTCTAAATTAATAAGACTATAAATTAGATTTATCTGCTTTGTAGATTGGTACCTCATAAAATTAAATTGGACAGTCGAAGTTGGTATGTTTATCAAGTTTGTAGTTAGTACCGTTTTGTTAATTAACATTGAAGCTATTTAAAATATCTGATCTATTATTACGTTTTAATAAGTAATTTTTGAATTAGTTGACGCTGATACTTATATAATACTAGCAAACCCGGCGAACTCCGTTTCGCCACCAGATGGGTTCGTTTTATGTAACATTTCGTTTGGTGATTAGTAAATTTTCTTTGCTGTTGGAAATCGAATCGTGCGTTCTGGAGTTATAGCGTCAGGAAGGAAAACCCGACTCATTTTTATATAGTAGATTTGCGAGAAATTCAGTGAGTTTCGGATTTCAATATTTTCATTAGTTACACATATGCAAATATGATAGAGCAGCTATTGTTTCACTGCCTCGTTGGCCGAGTAGTTGCAGGAGCGACTGCTGGACACGGGGTTTTTAGAAAATCTCAGTGGTAGCAAGGATTTTGGAATTGTGCCCGGTATATGGCAATAGGTTCCCTATTACATGGGATTCATAACATAAATAGTGAAAAGTGGGTGTTACATTGTACAGTGGCATTAAGTGCCTTAATGTGCACCTTTGTTCCCCTTCAGGTATAAAAAGGCTCGATGTTATGCTATTGTTTTAACCTCTTGACTAGCCGGTATATGAGCCACGATAAAATAATTTAATTGATTACTAGATTTTTATGTAAATGAATAAAATTGTAAATATGCCAGAAAGTTGTTCGAATAAGGTACACATAGGTTACACAAAAAAAAATAAAAAAGGATAAGGTTTCTTGACATTCAAAATTTTCTTTTTTATCTTATCTATAATTCGAAATGAGGATATTTTAAAACAAGGATACATTGTTTTTTATTAGATTAGCATTAGGACACTAACCGACCTTGCTAAGAGATTGTAACAATTGCCTACATTAGGAAGGAATTATTGCTTGTTGACATTTTTAACCGACTTCAAAAAAAGGAGGAGGTTCTCAATTCGACCGTATATATGCTTTTTTTTTTTTTATGTTTGTTCGCCGATATCTCCGTTGTTTATAAACCGATTTTGAAAATTCTTTTTTTGTTAGAAAGGAGATAGTTCCAGAATGGTCCCATGATAAGGAAATCAGGATCTGATGATGGAAGACCAGGGAAACCGAGGGGAACTTTTAAAAATTAAAGGGTGACTAGGGCATTTGTTAATTTTTTCATTAAGTAATTTTTCATATATAATAATTAGGTTTAAAACTTGTGGCACCGACTTCTAACCTATCAGTGGGTGTGTAAGCTATAAGTACGTATGACCACTAATAGTTTTTTTTTTCCTTTTTAGTTTTTACTTTTTGTTTGTCATTTGTTTTTGAAGTCGGTTTTTTTAATGATGTACAAAATGAATCATACATACATACCTACACGGGTTGTTGAATAATTTTTCATGACAAGTTCGAATGCGGTGTCTTTGTTTTTAAGACGTATACACTACTAACAAATAAGTTGTTGACTGTAAGTGCATTTTTATTTAATTAATTAGATGTTTTTTATATTTGATGGGCCGACGTTTGAATTTGAACACAATCTCGCCTGGTGGCAAGCGATGATGCAGTCTACGATGGAGCACTTCGTCTCAAAAGCAACCTATTCACTCGGGGCTTGAAGATATCCAGGTTAAACACTTTAGGAAATACTGACTATGGAATTCCACTTCTTAGCAGTAGGAAGGAATTTTGATGTGAAGAAGTCCTAGACATGAAACAATTCAAAATGTTTGACTTTAAAATCGCAGCAGTTATAGTGTCGTTGATTTATTTTTCACAAAAGTATGTTTCTTCATCACTCATGTTTTTATTCTATTTTATTTTGGATTTTAGTGATAAAAAATACATAATCATTTCCTTATCACTGAAATTTATACACTTGACATTTAGAATCTCGTACAAGTCGTTGTAGCTCAAAACTATTATAGCAACTTATAGGAATTCGTTTTTATAACAGTTTCAAATACGATTATCATAACATTTAAGTGTGAGAGAGCCATGCTTCGGCACGAATGGCCCGGCTCTACCGGAGTGATACCACGGCCTCACAAAAAAACCAACGCTTGCGTTGTGTTTCGTCGTATGAGTGAGGTTACCGGAGGCCCAATTAACCTCCCATTCCCCAAACTTCCCAATTCCTGATTCCCTAACGATCCTCAAACTCCTAATCCCCAAAAGGCCGGTAACGCCTCTGGTGTTCCAGGTGTCCATGGGCGACACCGATTGCTTACCATCAGGTGATCCGTCTGCTCGTTTACCGGGTTATGCCATAAAAAAACATTATAAACTCATTTTGGGTTAATTCTAATTTAGTTAAAATATAATATAAAATAAAAAATAATAGGTAGGTAGAAAAACTAGAATGCAGAGAACTTACTTTGTTACTGGCGATTTTTTCTTATCATCTGGTCACCATCAAGTCGGTTTTGTTCACAGCTAAATAAAGGTGTTTCTATAATAGTAATGCTAAATAAGTCTAACTAATAATTTCTTATTATTTTAAATTAAGAAGTTTTTTGGAAAACAACAAAATATACACTTTTGGTGTTTTCCAAAAAAGTTCTTAATTTAAAAACAATTTTAAATAAGAAAAATATTATCAAAGTTATCATAATCCTGTTAGGTGACTTTTAAGAAAACATAATTTACGAAATTCTACAAAAGGCGACATACGGTAATTGTCCGAGATATGTGCTATTTTTTGGTCATCCGAGCGTAGGTTGGTAACGGTATTTTTTATACATCCGGATGAATGAAGGAGGATATTGGAAAAAGGTGGACTTTATTGAAACTAACAGTTTTTGTATAAACGTTCACTTCAACCTCAGGTAAAGTATATGAAATACCTACGTTACAGATATGTTCATCAAGTAGGTAATGTAATTAACTTTTAGACTTATTTTCGTAACTATTAACCATACTTTATATAAAAAAATGTGTTGATCATCATCTGCCTGACATTAGTCTTTCTGTTGATATTTATTCGGTCCATCACACGTTCACCAAGTCCAGTTAAATGTAAGAATTAAAAATAACTACTCGTAACGCTTTGTATTTTTTTTTGTCTGCCTCGTTGGCCGAGTGGTCGCAAGTGCGACTGCCGGGCAAGGGGTCTCGGGTTCGATTCCCGAGTCGGGCAAAGTATTATTGGGTTCTTAAAAAATTCTCAGTATTAACACGGAGTCTGGAATTGTGCCCGGTATATGGCAATAGGCCCCTATTACATGGGACTCATAACATAAATAGTGAAAAATGGGTGTTACACTGTACAGTGGCATAATGTGCACCTCTGCCTACCCCTCCGGGCCTTTGGGGATAAAAGGCGTGATGTTATGTTATGTTATGGTTTGTCTTTTTATTTATAGGTCATTCAAAAAAGAGTTAATTTGTTTTCATGGTTTATATTTTACTTGTTCGACTAAGTTTTCATACACATTAAACACTATAATTAAAGTTTAGATAACAATAGTTGCTCACTTATTCTTACTTTTTTGACGAAATGGTCTTCAAATAATTACACACTCTAAGTATAAATGATGTCAGCAGTATAAATTTATGAATCATAAAGTCACGGTTCAAAATTAACTTCTAAACTATAGATCAGTGAAAGGCGTAATGAAATGTTAACTGTAATTAATAATAATGTTAAAAGCTAACCTATAATGTAGACAACTTTATCAATACAAATGATCATTATTGAAATGAATTATGCTTTTCAATGATACACACTTTGGAATGGGATACAAGATAATTAACTTAATCAAATTCATAAATGATCCGATGTTTATCTGATTGCATGTTTAAAGACTTAAGATTAATTGTTATTGAGCATTTTATCACTAGTTGTCCAGTCTATCACAATTATAACTCAATTTATAAACTAATACACTTAGTAATTTATTGCCTTGTGAACGAACTGTAAAATGATCACTAAATGGAAAACAAAATTTGCAGCACACTGTCGAATTTACGGGTCTCCTGGCTTTTGTCTGGTTTCCAAGTTGCAGTTTCACACATCATCATGTCTTCATCCATTTTAGCGTTTTCTTTATCAGGAACCAATTTAATTTCTTGCTTTACATTTGTAGGCTTTTTCTTGTTTCCTTCTTTCTCTATTTTGATTTCTTGATTTATGTTGAATATGTTCTGGAAGGGTTCTGTTCTGTTAACTTTTTCGTCTCTTCCTTCAATTCTGATATCACTATCTCTATGAGTGACAGTTCCTCGAATGTTCACGATGACTGTTGGTTTCAGAACTGTTTGCGATTCCCTATTACCAATTTGGCTTTGTCCAGCCATTGTGTTAGTTAGTGGTGTATAATCTTCATTATCAGTGTCAGCGTCACCTTCTTCATTTATGTTGTCCTCATTTTCTTTATTCTTATTTGGATTTTTATTTTTATTATACGGTGGGCGAGGACGTTTGTCCTTTTTTGGTTTTGAGGTTGTTGTTTTGTGTCTGTTAGTGTCTATGAAGACTACAACTTCTTCTCGAGACTTTACCTCACTGGTGTTAGTGTCAATACTTTTTGGGAATCGATACTTCATCGACGGCATTTCAATTCTATCATTTCGTCTCGGAATGTATTCAGCATCACTTGGTAAATGTGCTGGCTCGTTGTCGTATCGTACAAAGTTTTGAGACAAATTGTTTTCATCGTTTTGATTTATTTCTTCAGGAAGTTGAGAATGGATTCTTAATGACTCTATGACATCACGGAATAGGGAACGTTTCTCGTGGGTTGTTGCGATTTCTCGAGTTTTCGTTGGATTTGCGCTGCATAAAATTATCATATACGTGACGCAGATGAAGCACTGCATCTGTAAATACAAAACAAGTACTATTAAACCTTAACCTTGATTTTTGTTTTGAGTACCTAACACTGCTTTTCCTTTTGTCTGTCGGGACATAGATCTACGCTAGACACAATGTGTTATCTATTGTGTCTCATATATCGACAGGCAAGAGGTTTATAATGAATTAGACGTTTGATTAGACATAGTCACAGTTGTTGTTGAAAGACATTAAAATGCCTACTAATTGATAGTTCCTCGATCAAGAAAAGCCTTAAAAAACTTTTAAACATCGAGACACAAAACTAACATCAGAAAATTCTAAATAAACGTCGAGTAAATAAAGTAAAGCTATAATTCTATTTTATCGTAGGCAACAATGGTGTTACCTGTAAAAGTATTTGTCCCACTGGCCTACAAGTCGGTTTGTGGTTAGCAGAAGTGATGGATTGCCAGCACTTAAACGTACATTTCATTTGAATAAAGACGTTTTATGCTTATGATGATAGAATTCACTAACTTCGTGATTAAGTTTTCCCCACTTATCTGTAGTAGGTATATTATTATCCATTCTTCTACTTTCTTTGTAAGTAAGTATGTATATATAATTACTGTGAAATAGATACTGATGGTACAATATTATGGGATAGCATTGAATTACGAAACAAAAACAAGGTAAGTGAGGTGGATGGGTAAATTAACATTTAACATAAACATAGGGATATATTTAGTATACAGAAATATCTACAATTTTCATTATACACTCTTTCTGTGATAAGCATAGCATTGTTTGTTAGGCCTGTATTGTTAGACTTTCAAATTAACTATAGCAAAGGGGCGGGGCATTGTAAAATCAGGCACAATAACGTACTTCATTATATAAATGAGAAATAGTAATACTTTATCCAACTTGGGTATCCAATCCGAAAACTAAATAGAGAGTACAACACTTAACTAGAATATTAATGCTTTCGTCATAAAGAAAGTGAATGATCCATATTACAATTAATAAACGATTAATAAATAAGGGTATAAAATGACTCACCTTGATAGTGTACCGTGGATCGCGTTCACAGTGCGACTAGTTGTGCAGGAGTGGCGAGATGCAACCGGGAAGCGGTCGGAAGGTTGACTGAACTCCACTGAACTAAGACAGGGGTGGCCAAGCGCTATAGGGATACGTTTTGTAACATTGCAACTATTATATTGTGTTAATAAAATAATTCTCAATTTCATCGTTTCCCACCAGTAGCCTACTGAATACTTACTCTATACACAAAGTATATTAATAAGATTCATCCTCTACTTAGTTTCAAAGTCAAAAGTCAAAGCATTTATTCCAATTAATCCTTAGATTAGGCACTTTTGAAATGTCAAATTGATTGTAAGTAAAGTTAGGTGCTCGTTCCAAGTTTCTCATTAAGACCTATTTGTAAGAATTTATTATTGCGATGTTCCTTCCATTCTATCACACACATATTTACACAGTCTATTCACCTTTTCTTAGGTGTCCCTTCTATTATGTACACATCGACATCTAAGAGATAGGTACGACTACACCTTAACTTCTTTGCAACTGCCGACTTTTCTCAGGCGTCCTCTGACATATTCATAGCTTAAATTTTTGTTTTTTTATTAACTCGTCGAGTACCGTATTTATAGACACAATTAAAGAACAATAGGTTGCGGTCACCGGTGACCGCTTGGTGTTTGACAGTTTAAAGTTTAATTCGACTTTTATCGAATACATTTGGAATATATGTATTATTTGTTTGACAATGATTACTGCAAAATATTAAGTAAATGTGATATTGTTGATACGAATTGTAAATCCACCATGAATGTAACACCCCTGTTCAGAATTAAATAGCAACTTGTCTTGTCGGGAACTACTAGACTTCTGATGCCCGGAACTTGTGGTTATTGTGCCATAATATTGCATCGACAAATATGTGATTAGCGACCTTATAACTACAGGAATAAGGGATACTTGAGAAGAAATTACAAGTTAGTAGTTTTTTCTACAAGTTTGCTATCGTGGCGATTCAAGGAGTGATGTATTCATTTTTATTTTACGTTCTGTTTTTACTTTGATAGAAATGAAGTACAAATATCAAGTTTGCTCTTAGCTTTTGTAATATTTAGAAGAAACTCATGAATATGTTGAAGTAAATATTAAAAGTTAAATATATTCCTTTACCATTACACTGTAGGCCACACAAACCGCACAATGTTATCAATATGTACCTACCTAAACACAAGTTGTGCTGACTATGTAATAAAATAATTTTAATTTCACATGCTTCCATTTCTTTTATTTACGAAATACTTTGTTACTTACTATATTTTCAATACACTATTCATATTTCTTAGAAAAACTATCTTAGAAACTATCTTAGAAAAACTATGGCTACACTCTCGGTTCTAATTTCACTTGAAACCCGTCTGTATCCCTCAGCATGAGATCACTCTCCAAATTCATTGGTTTTCCTAAATCCTGTTCGGAGATGGGCAACAGTCGGAAATTACGTAGTATATTTGTTAGTGCAGCCTTCATTGACAGCATTCCGTAGCGGTAACCTTAAAATAAAATAAGAATATCATCGAACTAGAAGGAATTACATAAATTCAATTAATTATAAGTAGCGACAGTTCTAATCAAATCAAATCAAATCTAATCAAATCTCTCTAAACTTGTTAGAAAAGGACCTTCTTTGAAATTACAAATCCATGGAATTGATTAACAATTATTTACACCTGATAAACTTAAATGCTTACCAACACAATTACGAGGACCACTACTAAAAGATAGGAAGGCAGAGTGATGCTTAAGCGAAGATCCCATGAACCGTTCAGGTCGAAATTCCTCTGCATCGTCTCCCCAGTACCGAGGGTTGCGATTAGCAGCAAATATAGACAGCATAATCGCTGTGGCTTTTGGTAAAGTATCTCCAGATGCTGAAATTTAATTAATTAAATTTTTGATGACAAATAGCTAACCATTGAAAAACCCATAACTAAAATGAAGATAAAGGTAAAAACTGAAAAGCAAAAAAATAACTAATATTAAGTAGTCATACGTAACGTACTTATATATACACTCGTACTCGTACTTATAGGTTACCCATCTACTGATAGGTAAAAGTTTACCTATCAGTAGGTGATACTGATAGATAATGATAAACCCACTTTGTAATAGATATTACGGGCTTAACGAATAATTTTAAATAATAAAGGTACCTTACATAACTGTGTACAATTTTATGACAATTATTCTGTGACCAAAATTATACTTTGTATGGGCTTATAGCACCGTGTCTCCTTTTTTGGGAGTCGGTTAGAAAAATTACAATCAATGAAATTGAGGAACTCAAGTTGCATTAAATTATTACACTATTGTCTGGAGAACAATAATACTTACGTAGAATGACATCCCTGTCAACTTTTCGCACCACATTAGGTGCTGGTGGGTACAGTCGTAGACTCTCCATGATGACTGCACTCATATACTTGAGTTCAGCAAGTTTCTCAAAAGTAACTGGCTCGGAATCGCTAAATACTTCTTTTATCCTGTTGAAGATTTGGTCACCAATTATTCTTCTTTAGTGTAAGGGCATAGAAAACTCAAAAATAAAACAATGTGTGTATGCAATAAATATGTGTTTCAAGAATTTTAGTAATTTTACTTAGAAAAAGGGACTCAAAGATTGTCTGGGCCTTCAATTTTTCGTGTGGTGTGGTGTGGTTTGTGATGTAGTTCTCGCACACGAAAGGCGAACGACACATGTGGTATACAAAAAGGTTATACATTAACATAATATTATATTATGTTACGTATGTAAATTAGCAAATACATTATAATCAACTTCCAATTGAGGTAAACTGCGGGTAAAACCTAGTCACAAAAATATGGTCTTTATACAAGAAACATGAGATTTTCTGATTTTGGGCTGGATATATCACCTACTTTATTATTGAAACAGAAGAAATGCAGAAAGCGTTACCAGCTTAACTTGTATTTGACCACTGACACAATGAAACATAAAAATGTTCATCCATATCAGTTTATTCTTCGTAAACTTACTCTTTGTAAACTTTCTCTTGAATGTCCGGATGTCTTGCTAATAACACGCAGGTGAATGCTGACCCAACTGAAGAGGTGTCAGTGGCTGCTGTAATGATGACTACTATCTCACTAAGCAGTTCTTTGTCATCATATCCCGCATCTACTCCTGATGATTCTATCATAAGCTCCATGAAAGTTCGGAGGCGGTCTTTGTCTAAAAAATAGAAAAATATCGGTGTATAGCAATGATTTTTGGAAGTAACTTATATTGTAGTTTTATGGAGTGAGATGAAAGTTTTTATGTGCTTTGATTTTTTTTTATGGAATAGTAGGCAAACGGCAGACGGATCACCTGATGGTAAGCGATCAGCACCGCCCATAGATATTCGCAATACCAGAGAATTTACAGGTGGGTTGCATGGGTATTAAAAAGGAATACGCTCTTTTCTTGAAAGTTTGAAGGTCGTATCGGTACAAAAATACCGCCGACGACAGGTCATTCCACAGTTTTGTTGTGCGAGGCAGAAAGCTACGAGAGAAGCGCACAGTTGTGGCCTGCCAACCATCTATTTGATGGGGATGGAAATGCTGTCGTGCGGGTCGATGGCGAAAAGACACGGTAGGTATCAGATCAAACAATTCCTCAGAGCACTCCCCGTGGTATAAGCGATAGCAAATGTACAACGAAGCTATAGTTTCGTAGAACAGAACGCTACCGAAACGCTGACTAAAATAAATTGTTTCTACAATTTTAATCGATTTTGTTTTCGTTTTATTCATGCACATCATTCTTGAGCAGTACTTAGATTACAACTATTATTACAAGAAGAATTGAATTCCTAACTTTTTAAAAATAAAACTTGATTTTTACCATCACCCTTTCATTTACATCCTGTATTAAATGCTGAGTGATGTACCTGAGTCTCCTTTTTTAATATTTTGTTCGTACTCCTTCCGACGAATTCGGATTATCTGTAAATGTATCACAAATATTAATAAAATTGTAGCCATTAATCAACAGTAGGTATGTTGCTTTCATATTATTAGCAGGCGCCTTTTGATTATATAACCTGCATTAAACTGTCAAACACCAAGCGGTCACCGGTGACCGCGACCTATTGTTCTTTAATTGTGTCTATAAATACGGTACTCGACGAGTTAAGTTATGTTAGGAACATTAGAGAAAGAAAACATCGTGAGGAAACCTGGACTTTCCAAATTTGAAATCATCAACCCGCATTAAGCAAGCGCGGTGATTGATCCTCAAACCTTCTTCAGTGACCACTTATAGGCTGTTGATGGGTGATGTGATGTGAAGTTATTAATGCCTATGTATTTATTTTAATTCAAATGAAAGTTTAATGTTGGCCTTTTAAACTTCAAGTGTTGGTTTACCACAGTTAAAATGACTGTAAATATTAAAGACATTTTATTACATACATTTTATAATATGATACAGCATATGATACAGCATATTATAAAATGTATTGTTTACAGAAAGATACGCGCAACGCACAAGTCTCGCTGCGCCTTTCATTCTTCGAAATGCATATGCGTAGATATACGTGTGTTTTTAAACTTAACTATGATTACTTTTCTTTTTGCTTTTCAATTAAAAAAACACTTTTGACCATTAATCAAAACATACTTAGTATATTTCAGATTTGAGATTTGAAATTACTCATAGCATTAATACGAATTTTATATGCAAAAGCTTTAATAAACAAAGAAAATTATTACCTCGCTAATATGATTTCTGATAGTTTCCTTGTGTACCATGAACCGTCTGTATTGTGGAGTCAAACTGTATATAAGTTCGTTCTGGAGCCACGGCTTCATAATGCGTTCTGATACCAGAGTGAAGCATTCAGAAAGTGCTTTTATCAGCTTCTGGTTCGAGTTCATACGGGCATCAGGATTAATACCCAGTGAAGTTTCTGGAATAATACGTGGAGCCTTTTAGTTTTGTTCATAGGTATCACACGAATATCTAAAAATTTTAAAGTTTCTTTGTTTGGATGTTTGAATATTTGACCGACAATCAAACTAATTTAAGTGTGGGAGAGCCATGCTTCGGCACTGCTGGGCCGGCTCGACCGGAGTGACACCCCAGCCTCACAGAAAACCGACGTGAAACAGCGTTGTGTTTCGTCGTGTGAGTGAGGTTATCGGAGGCCCAATTACCCTCCCCTTCCCCAATCTCCCCAATCCGTTAATCCCCAACGATCCTCAAACTCCTAATCCCCAAAAGGCCAGTAATGTACGTGTAACGCCTCTGGTCTTCCAGGTGTCCATGGGCGACGCCGATTGCTTACCATCAGGTGATCCGTCTGCTCGTTTACCGGTTTATGCCATAAAAAAAAAACAATCACGCTGAAACTACTGAACGGATCTTGATGACCAGGCAGGGCCCATACTCTACCTGTGTACCAAATGTAGGTGTGAGTGACCGTGAGTTAGATAATAGGATCTTTTATCCCGATTAAATGCTCACATAGAATAAAACAGGAATCATATTCTACGCGGACGAAGTCGCGGGTAACAGATGAAATAATTACTAAAAAACTACAAGATAAAGCAGTACCTATATGTACCTACCTAGACCACTAAGTAAAAATGGTAATATTAATTGCCAAAATCCTGAAAGAAACCTACCACAAACAATATCCACGGCACATTCAATCAAATAATCGAACATTGATACACTTCCCGTTTCAGCCACTTTGTGAAGCTTTTGAACCATAATCTCACTTTGTTTAGAGAATACAGTCGTAAAAGTCTTCAAATTTCTTGGAGTAAATGTTGAAGATAGAATCTTGCGACGAGGGCGCCAGATGGGTACTGTAGAAGAAGATTACAATTATAATGAGGTGCTCATATCTAACGTGACCAATTATTTTTTGACCCAAAACGGGACATTCGTTTATTTAGAATCAATCTAGCAGCTAGATCCTTCTATATAACCTGCAGACAGAACACAGAACCTGTTAACAATACTAACTGAACTAAAAATGTAGATACTTAAAGTGTTTTCGACTGTACTTCGTTAGAAATTTAGCGTCCTAGAGATCATTTCGGGCACAACGGGACTCATAATTATGTATAAAAAGTACAGTCCCGTTCAAAACGTGCGTTACTTCTAGAATCTCATCCTTCCCGCTGATGTCACTAGTGTCAACTGGAATGAAAAGACCGGATAAGTTACCATAGCCAGAATATAATAATAGATTACTCACCTTCAGCAACATTACTACCATCTCCTATAGCTGCTAGCGCTATTTTCATGGCGTCATCTTTTTCAAGGCATTGTTTCATTACACTTTCTGCTACGATTGGATCGGCTACGACTGACAAGTAATAAATTTCTTTATTAGCATTTAATGTTACTTCTTATACAGGTAAACTCTGTTAGAGTTTTAGCATAACTAAGTTTTACTGATATTGTCAGATTTGTGAGCATGAAAATCTTGTTTGGTCATCTTTTTAACGTTGATAGAACTTCTTGATGTCCGATTATGAAAAAACCACAACATTTGTTCATATAAAAGTAGTCTCTAAACATCGGAAATAAGGTTGATAATGGTACACCTACAGGTGGAGAGTGGTCAGCGGTGACCGCTTGGATCTTGACCAGTTTACTGTCGCGTAGATCACCGGTGACCAACGTTAGCTGAGGATTTGCCTCCAACAGTTTTCTGTCGGTAGTCAAGCTTAAATCACGGGAAAGCAAAGTTAAGCCGAAGTAGGTGGATACTAAAATTTTATTGTTACCATCCTTTTATTTATTTTGTGTGAAAATTGTATAAAGGCCTATATTAATTAGTTCATGAAAACTTCTTACTAAAATACATTTTCTGAAGACTCCACATCACCGTCACGCCTCCCTGATTTACTGCCTCCCGGCCGATTGATTCCAAACATTTCCATTGATCTAGAATGAATAAGTAAAAATGCCTATGTTATCAATAGACGTGCGATTAAAACTCTAAAAATTATTTTTCCATGTATGTTTGCAAACGCTAATTACTGGAATTCATTGGACGGATTTGAATAAAACTTATTCGTAGTATAGCTAATTAGCGACCGATCCGAACCCCAACCCTGCAATATGCATGTACTTATTATACATATAAACCTTTCTTAAGAATCAGTCAAAGATCTAAGCATACATAGGGACAGACAGACGGCGGGTAGCGACTTTGTTTTATACTATATATTTATATGTCAAATTCTTCAAATTCTTTATTGCGTTCTACACTTAAGACAAGATTTTCTATTGTGTCTCACATGCCGACAGATAAGAGGTTAACTGACTTAAAAAAAGAGGGCTTAAAGGCTTAAAAGTAGTTTATTAAAATTTATGAAAATATTCAATATACTAGTAATAAATGAAATAAAACTTACCACTATTATTTTTGCACGTCAAAAAAATGTACGAATGTCCGACAATTGGTATAGATTTTAAATTATTCTTATGTAATTTGGAAAACTTTATCATATGTCTCATTTGCCATCGGAACCAAACACAGAATAGTAACACCACAATAACAAATAATTGCAAAAGTGTCATTTTTGCAAAAAAAAAAAAAATGTTACGAAATTGAAAAACCTTACATCACAACATTTAAAGTGTTCACTAAGATCAAGAGATCAAGAGTGTTACAGTGATTTAAAAAATATTAACTATATAGGTATTACTGAGACTAATTTAAATCAGGTTTTATTAAAACTAGAGGTCACTGATTGGCCTTTAACTCGTCGAGTACCGGTTTTACAGACACAATTAAAGAACAATAGGTCGCGGTCACCGGTGACCGCTTGGTATTTGACAGTTTAAACAGTTAAAATACGTTTCCATTTTACTGACCTAAAAAAAAGGGAAGATACCATGTTCAGAAGATTGCTTTTTTCTCTCTGTATGTTCACCGATTACTCCGCTAATTGTATACTGATATTTAAAATTCTTCTTTCGTTTGTAAGGTTGCACTTCCGAGGTAGTCCCATTGTCTCCAGGTAAGAATCTGATGATTGGATCCCAGCAAAACCGAGAGGAACTTTTGTAAATTTAGGGACATATTTATTAGTTAATGTTTCCAATACATGTTTTAAACCAGTACAATTTAATAAGAGTCTGGAGTCGACGTGACGATAGAACCGTAGTCGAGAGAACCTTGTGTTTGGGCTTGATTAATTTATATTGGTGAGCACTTTATACCTACATAGAGTGGGACTCTCATTAAGGGTCTGATGATGAAGTAGAGTAATTGTTAAGGGAACTCCTCAACGGTATACAGTAACTACCTTGAGTTTCGGCTTGCATAATTTGTATTGATCAGAACTTTGCACCAGTGTGGATTATAAGTCGTAAAACGGGTTTTGGTAGCTTTACACTAAAAAGGATAGAATAAAAACTGCGTTAAAAAAATCGACTTCAGAAAACTAAAAACTAAAAATAAGAAACAAACAGGAAGTAAAATCTAAAAAGCAATAAATAACTATTTTTACTGATAGGTCACTTGTAGGTTTTTTTTTTCTTTTTATGGCATAAGCCGGTAAACGAGCAGACGGATCACATGGTAAGCAATCGGCGTCGCCCATGAACACCTGGAACACCAGAGGCGTTACAAGTGCGTCACCGGCTTTTTGGGGATTAGGAGTTTGAGGATCGTTGGGGATTCAGGGATTGGGGAGATTAAGGAAGGGGGGAGAGGGGAAGGTAATTGAGCCTCCGGTAACCTCACTCACACGACGAAACACAACGCAAGCGTTGCTTCACGTCGGTTTTCTGTGAGGCCGTGGTATCACTCCGGTCGAGCCGGCCCATTCGTGTCGAAGCATGGCTCTTCCACACTTTTTGGTGTTCGTAGGTTATTTGTAGGTTACAAAATTATATAAACTTAATGGTCAGAAAATTGTAAACAGCTTAATATTAGGTATCTATTAAGGTTTCTTATGGCACTGACTTCTAATTTCTTCCTCTTAGTGGGTGGGTACCTATGAGTACAAATAATAGTTCTTTTTTGCTTTCTAGTTTTTACTTTTTTGATTTTTTATTCCTTGCCAAAAGCAAAGGCGAATGAGTTGAAATATTACTGTTTATTTATAAAAAAGTAAACCTTTCGAGTCAACAGTAACATACATTTTAGTCTCTTATTGACACCAATTATAAGGGCATCTAAGGGGTCATTATTTTAGATGTTAATGAAACACATCTAGTTTGTTCAATTTATTGTGTAACATATAGAATGGAAATAAATAAATTTATTTCAAAGTTTTCAACAATTAAAAAAACAATATACATAGGGAACTATTGAAATACCAAGATCATACTCTTGGTTCCAGTACTACTTTGTAGTCATCTGCAGACCTCAGCATGATATCATAATTTATGTCCAGTGGCTTTCCCAACTCTGATTTGGAGACTGGCAGTATTCGGAACCGGCGAACAATATTTGATAGAACTGACTTCATGGATAGCATTGCATAGCGGTATCCTAAAAAAATAAAACAAAAATTAATTAGTCATTTAGTCCGTATTGTTTCGTTGTGTAATGTTAGTCATGAATATTAGCCCCTAGAATGGCTTGAAACTGGTTGAGTTACCTAGTAACTGTTACACGAGTGATTCTTCAAACATTATTAATACTAGAAAATAAGTTAGTTTTTTTATCATACCTAGACAATTCCGGGGACCATAACTAAAGGATAAGAAAGCAGCGGGATGCTTGAGCTGCGTGTCAATGAACCGTTCAGGTCGGAACTGGTCTGCATCGTCTCCCCAGTAGCGAGGGTTGCGGTTAGCAGCAAATATAGATACAAATATGCCTGTGCCTTTCGGTAAAATATCTCCTGATGCTGAAATGGGAACAAATACTTTAAGATCCACTGTACGTCACATCAAATCTTGGTTTTAAATAAAGGTTAGGTAGGATTTATTTTTATTATTCCTAATTAGTATTGTATTAACTACACGTACTAGCGGTTTCGATTTTCGCACGGAGCAACCCTTCATATGATCCACAACTAGCTGTTTCGAATCTGGGTGTCATGTGTATGTAAAATTTTTGTAAACACACCCACGACGTAGGAGAAAATCTTAACGTAGGGCAATGTTTTGTTTTAAAAAAAATAGTACGATGTGCGCTGAGCAAAGTGATAAGCTTAATGCAAAAATAAATCTTATAATGTTTAAAAAAAACGGCGTATGGACGCACTAGTTTTGTACAAAATTGTCTATGTTCAAGATAATTGCAAATATTTAACTTACGAAGAACCACATCGTTATCAACTTTTCTCAACAAGATTGGTCCTGGGGGATATAATCGCAGCGTCTCCTTTATAACTGCACTCATATACTTGAGTCGGCTCAGTTCTTCAGCTGTTACTGGTAGGTTTGAGTCTCCAAATACATCTTTGCACCTGTTAGATTTGTCATGATATTATTATGTCCTATTTTATACATATTATATAAAGCTGAAGAATTTTATTGTTTGAATCTCCGAAACTACTAGTCCGATTTGAATAATTATTTTTGTGTTGGATAGTGCATTTGTCGAAGAAGATAGGCTACAAAATATTAAACTGTGATCATTAAGACCTGAGCTTAGCAGGGAACCTGGGAGAGCGTGGAAGTAGCCAGTTAGACATAAGTAATTCAGCGGTAACTATATTTAGGTGGCATTGAAGTAAAGATTGAAAAGCAAAGCAATAAAAAAGTAGTACAACATACTCTTGGTAAACTTTCTCTTGCACATCAGGGTGTCTCGCCAGTAACATGCTGGCGAATGAAGACGCGAGGGTTGAGGTGTCCGTACCCGCCGTGAAAATTACCATTATCTCCTCCAGGAGCTCCTTATCAGTGTACCCCTTGTCTCCTCCTGAGGATTCTATCATGAGTTCTAGGAAACTTTTGATGCGGTCTTTGTCTGAAAAGAGTTGAAGATGTATAGCAAAAGTATATCAACTTTATTATGTATGATATAGATATTTTTTGTGTACATCGGATAATGTATGTATATTTCAGGAGCGCGTTTACCTTCGTCATCATTCTTATTAAATTTCTTTTGAGCGAGTTCCTTGCGTTTAGCTTGAATCATCTGCAAAATTAATACAAATTATGAGTTCAATTTTCTGCTTAAACCAATTGTGTTTTTTATGTTCTATTTTATTAAATTGACGACACGGTTGACGTGGTGGCTGGGCAACTGGCTGCCGCACAACGTGTCGTAGTTTCGATTCCCGCATGGAAGAACTCTTTGTGTGATCCACAGAGTATTGTTCTGGATCTGGGTGTCATGTGTATGTGAACTTGTATGTTTGTAAACGCACCCACGACGCAGGAGAAAATACTAGTGTAAGCTTCTATAGAAAATAAAATAATAATTAGGTACATACCTCCATGATGTACCCTAAGACAGTATCCACATACTCCATATATTTGGCATGGTGTGCTGTCAGTTTATATAAAGGCTCGAAGTGTAGCCATGGCTTCATGATGCGGTCTGCTATCAGAGTGCAACTGCCCGCAAATGCTTTTATCAGATCCTGGTTCGGATTCAATTGTGAATTAGCATTCAAGCCCAGAGACGTTTCTGGAAAAATATACAGGGTAGTTAAACATTGATGTATTAATAGAAATGCTATAGTACCATTACTTACATAATATATACTATTATGTAAAGCTGAAGATTTTGTTTGTTTGTTTAAACGCGCCAATCTCGGGAACACTACTATGCACACATACTACATACTAATGTGCACAGAGGTGCACATTACGGCATGATGTTATATGTTATTAATTCTGCTATCACATTACATGATGAGGATAATGATTCCGTCGTTTATTGACAATGTACAAGAGCCTTATTAAGTATAACAGAGTTGAAACACATATGAATCTGAAAAGTGGTTTATCTCTGTTCAACAGAGGAACCCTAAATAGTTTTTTCTTATCTACAATAATCAATAACTATCATAGGTTTTTGTTATTGGCGCCCGGTCTATTCAAGGCTAGTGGTACGTATAGATTATATAGCAGGCTATTTAACGGCTAACGTAGTATGTTTAGTATATTTTTGGCATTGAATTAATGATTAAGAATATTATGATGATTAATGATGTGGCCGCAGTTTTAAGACACCTGCTTCTCATGCATGAGGGCGCGGGTTTGAAGTCTACCAACGGCAAGTACCAATGTGACTTTTTCCGAGTTACATGTACTTTCTAAGATTATTTACACACCATTGACAAACGGTGAAGGAAAACATCGTGAAGAATGCCCAAACTTAAATGCCCAAACTTTTTCCGTGTGAGAACAGGCGTTTGGTCGGCATTGACCACTTATTATAGGCTGTTGATGTGATTGATGATTTATTTTTTGTGTTTTACTATATTATAATTTTCGGCAATAATCTATTTTACTGTTTTAGATAATTTCAGTGCAGTAAATATTAATCACTGTGACTAAAATTATTCCGATTTTTTTAAAGGAGGAGAAATCATAATATGTTAAATGATAAGAAAGGTTTATTCTTTCTGGTTAATTATATGTTGACCTAAATTGCTTGTAAAAGAACTTACCACGAACAGAATCCATGGCATAAGCCATTATGTATTCAGATATTGATATGCTTCCAGTTCCTGCTACTTTTTGCAGTTGTTGCACCATTATTTCACTATTTTTAGCGAATATGTCGGTGAAGGCCAGTAGATTCTTCTGACTGAACGTTGATACTAGGATCTTGCGACGAGGCCTCCAGATTGGTACTGTCAATGAATACAGAAGTGGTTGTGGTAAGTTAGTAGAATTCAATTTTTTTATGAAATAAGCCGGTAAACGAGCGGACGGATCACCCGATGGTAAGCAATCGGCGCGGCCCATGGACACGTAAACATCAGCGGCGTTACAAGAGCGTTACGGGCTTTCGGGGATTGAAAAGATTAGGGAAGAGATACAATAATGCAAGCGTTGTTTTACGTCGGTTATCTGTGAGGCCGTGATATCACTCCACTCGAGCCGGCACATTCTCGCCGAAGCATGGCTCTCCCACACTTAAAGTGTTCATGAATAATAACAGAGTTATGCTCCATACAACGCGATGATGGTATTGTACCGTGATATTATTAAATATGAAGATCAGATCCTTACCATCAGCAACACTGCTGCCGTTTCCAATCAGTGCTAGTGTTAGTTTCATTGAATCATCTTTGTCTAGGCAATGTTTCATAACACATTCAGCTACTACTGGATCGGCAACGACTGTGGAATTAAAAAAACCTCGTTATATTAAAAAAAATATTGGTATGTTTCTTTGTTCATTTGTCTATAAGTTTTTTTCAAGTTGCTAATAGGTAGCACGGCTCAAATCCAGCAATTAACTTGTCTTTTAAGTATGAACATCGTGTGATATATTTCATACCGTCAATATAAAAAAGGTATTAAGTGCGACGCCCGCGCGCCGTTCTATTTGTATTGTTTCCAAAGCATTAAACGCCATGCCGTGTTATGACCTTAGTACCTATCTTTACAATAAATACCTTTTTTATTTAAAATACTTACTAAAGTACAACCTGTGTAGATTCCAACCTATTGTCATACCACCTTGCTTCACTGCCTCGCGACCAAATTTTTCCAGAACTTTCCATCGATCTGAAAAATATTGGCAATTATTGTTTCGAGACAAAATAATTTACAAACATGCAACATAATTATTATCTTTATGTTTAGTGTATAATGTCAAAGATAAGACCAGGAAGGTACTTTTGAACGTCAACAATAAAAAATTAAAGTGAAGCTAGTTGCTCATTCCAAGGTGTAGACTCCAAGGAGAAGAATGAACAAGAAACTCCATAGCTTTTTTTTTTCAATCAGGTTCACAATACAATTCTCTAGTTACACAGTTACACAGTTTTATTGGTTCGTCTGAATTAAATTTGGTGTTACTTAACACATTGGATGCCTTATCGGAGAATGATCTCCGACGCTAGCGGAGGCTTAGCCTTTATTTTATTTATTTAAAAAAAGGAAACGTTGTCCCACATTAGGATTTTCTCGTGTCTCATGGGTGTGTTTACGCACATACAAGTTCACACACAATGACACCCAGACCCGAAACTTTAACATTTTTTGTCGGCAGTTAAAGGCTTACTTAAAGAAATAACATTGAGCTAACCAGTATTATTTTTACATTTGATAAAATGTACTGAATGTCCAAGTATCGGCGCGGCTTTTATGTCATTTCTGTATAACTTAGCGAACTTTATTCTATGTCTTGCTTGCCAACGAAGCACTAAACCATATATTATCACAACACCCACAAATATTTGCCAAATCATTTTAGAAAAAATCACATAAAATCACTAAAAACTTCGTATAAAAATAAAATTGGTACTTTGAATACATGTATTGCGCTTCCTACGAATCAAAACACACTACTGCTGAACAATGTTCCATTATTTATTTTCTAAAATATTATCTTTGTGTAGATAATTTATCAAAAGTAGACAAAATTTCAAAATTCTTTAATGAGAGGCACCAAACCTATTATCTACTTACGCAGTAACTTAAAATTTGTATATTTATAACTTTAATGTTCTACGTTTACCTAGTTTTAAAATTCAATGCCATAACTATTAGGAAATTTGCAAAATAAAAACATCAATCAGAAGATAGTATGGAAGTCTACTGTTAGCGATGGCACTAATTTTACAAAGTAATAATTACACTTAGATTCTGCGACTTTATCTTATGAAAAATAGCGGGGTCTCAGGGACCCGCTGGGTGCAGGTCGCTTCAGTCATTGGTGACCTAAGTTCAGCAGAGCATGACACATGGCTGATTCGACAGACATGGTGGTGATCATGATGACGATAAAAGAGAGAAAAAGATGGGTATTTATTCATGAAACTGCTGATTTTGATCCTATTATAGTTATTTGGTTTACTACAATGCTAATCCGGGTTTTGATAACAGTGCGATGACCTGTTATAAAATAACATTATCAAGTATTGAACTGTTGACCTGTAGACAATGTTTTGTTTAGGTATAAAATTAATTTAAGAACTAATAACTAAAGAAAATAGATAGGTACTTTATCATTTGGTAAGGATGAACTATAAATTCATGTTATAGGTACTATTACGCCTCAACAGAGTACATTTAAATGTAGAACACACTTTTCACAACTTTCTGTAAATGTAGTTTTCAATGTATAATATATTTTTGCCTGCTTTTATCATTACTCTTTGTACGATCTTCTACTCATACAGTGTGACCTTCATTTAAATTCCTAAATATAATATATGTATGAAAACGTTAAATTTATGTACATGCCACAGAAAAAAAGTTGATAGTATAGCCTTTTTTCTCGATAAAGACTGGCTGGACCACATGGATGGTTATGTTACCTTCCTAATCTCATGTTTTTATAAACAAATTTAGGACTGATTAATTGAGTGGTCGATCAGGTTTAAGATCACAGACGCGAGCGGTTGACTACCTAGGCGGTTCGGCGGTAGTCATAGCGGTTGTATGTTTAGACTCGTACACAAAACTGCGATGCGATGCGATGCGAATTCGCAACGCAGAAAATCAAGACACGAATTGCTGCGATGTGACTACGCCCGACAAGGCGACTCCCATGGCGACCATTCCTTCGACGACCGTCAACCGTACTAAACGTATTTTAAATTGAAAACTAGGTTGTGACATGGATCGTAAAAAGAAGTGTGCACTTTTGTTACTGCTTAGGAGATACAGGAACAATAAACAAATAACATTTTGGGAAGATAAGATATTATGCGCGATGCGAATCAATTCGCAAGTTCTTGCGATGCGTAGAGGGAGCTCGCACTTTTTGGCGATGTGACGTCGCATAGCAGTTTTGTGTACGAACCCTTAATTTTGAAAAGCGGTCAACCGCAGTAGATGGCTAACCGCGCGTTAAACCGCTATGTGATGGGGTTAAAACATTCTTCATAACTACAGTCGGTAAAACACTAAACCGTTTAAACTTTTATGATTTAGGTTGGTGCAAGTTTTATTGGAAAGTTATAAAAATAAGAGTTCTAGTTTTATTGTGACACATAACATAAACATAACATTATGTTCCCTGTGCATGCTGAAACTATTGAACCGATTTTTAGGGTGATCTGGGGACTGCGGAGATAAATTTTAGTCTTAAAAATCTAGAACAGTTACAAAATCGCGACCTGCTACCAGTACCTAGCAGATATTAAAACATGGTTATTATAAGATGCAACAGCTCTTAATGTAAATGTTATTTAAAGGGAGAAATAAGCAAGTGATGAATATTAATGGCAACATCTAAGCGTGAATGTTATTTATTAAGTAGATTTTGATAGACTGAAGTGACATCTACGGAAAGTAGATAAAAGTAAATACACAATGTCTAGCGTATCTTACGGACATTATTTCTGTGCTGAGAAGCTTAGTACCGGTTGTCTTTAGTTCGTGTACGGCTCAAGAGATGTCAGCTAAAATAAAATTTGGATTTCTTCATTACATAAAGGTTTATCTCAACGATTAGCATTAAAACAAAATGTCTAATTGAATAACCATACCGGATACCACTTACGACCGAATACTGAAAGGCTACTCAATTTTCAGTTGTAGGTACTTCATTATCGTGCCATCTCTGTCATTTTACAAAGAATTTGTAATGACAGAACTATACTCAAGCGGTTTTAAATTAACTAACTTTTCACATAAAATAGCAGTTTTTATTTACTTATTATAAGAAATTCATGTAATGATGATAATTATAAAACTTAAATCATGATTTTGACAAAAAGGTATTTTTGTCTAGGCAGGATATTGGAGGTTTAATGTCTTTTTTATCTTTATTTCGAGTTTATCGGTTATGTTATACATTTCTTAAAAATACGTTGCTAATAGGACATCTTAACAGGTTTTATTTTGTGACGGTTTATTTATGTCACTAAACTCTTCGCATAAGACAAAATAAAATTGTAATCTGGTTGGTAAGTAGATCCAGTTAACTCTTTGAGGTATAAGTATAAGACAAGTAGGAGTAACCTGCCAGTAGAGATACACCCCGCATTTAATATAGCCTATATTTCTTTTTAATGCCGACACGGGGTAACCCCGTAAGAAAATTTGAGGTAGTTTTATCAAAGTGCCCTTATCGGCCATAGTAGGTAAGGTTGAAAGCAGGGGATGGGAACAAAGGATAATGAATTCTCTATTAGTCCCACGAGAGAAATTGCAGGTTACGTTAGCCCTTTACTTTCTTCTCGAGTAGAATTTATTAGCCTTTCGTGTGGTCGGTAAATGATCAGAAATTCTGGTTAGGTAGGTATATGAGTTGTTTATATTTTGTTGTTTTTTTGTATTTTTTTTCTATACTTTAACGGCATTGTTGTATAGACATCGCAAGAGTGTCCAGTGTGCACGATGTCCCAGGTCCTAATTTAGTCTGTGAGGCACACATAAAATGAGTTTTAGCATACACATTTTTGACTGCACGTTTGATGCGATTACTGGGCAACCGGCTGCCGCGCTGGTTTGATTCCTGCACGGAGCAACTCTTTGTGTGATCCACAAATTGTTATTTTGGGTCTGAGTGTCTTTGTGTATGTGAACTTGTATGTTTGTAAACGCATACACGACACATGAGAAAATCCTAATGTGGGGCACCGGTGTAAAAAAAAACATATTTTTATTACTTTAAGAATTTCTTTAACTAAAAGTTTTAGATAAAGCACAAAGTTAAAAGATCTCAAAGCCGCACATTGCACACAATACATTCCAGTTCTTTCACTGACGACACCGCGGCGACATTAGGTTTTAAAAGAAAAATATTTAAAAAGTTTCTCCAACAATTTCATATTGTCGCAAGCACGCAACTTAACCCCCGTTTTTAAGCAGTTTTAACAAGGTCTCACCTTCACAGAGTACGAGGTGATTTGGGCATTCCTGACCGACGTCACTTAGACCTGTATCCAAAATAACTACGCATTTCCCTTGGGAATTTACACCGGCTCTTAAAGACTGATGGTCATTACCACCCCACCACCTCCCCCATTACTTCCCGTGTCGCGAGAGGACGCGTGCCTGGAATAGTGAACTGATGCTTATTGAAACACACCTTTACATTTGCATACCGAGTACCTCTATTACAAAGGGATAAAGTTGAGAGTTGTGTGTTTAAAGTGCATGTAGCGGTTGGTGATCACAGCGCAGCAATCACGAATCTTTAGGGACCGTTACAAACAAGTGTCTTTGTGTATGTGTTCTGTTGGTCGACGGATTTTACTCTGTACTCTGTAGTTCCTTTGTTAGTTATCTTATTAAGTTTACATTTGGTACAGTCTCGGTGGGGAAAGTCGAGGTAATGCGGACTTATGTGGTTCCTAGTTGAAACAAATACCGTAAAGTAATGAAGTCTGCATTGAAAGGTAAATTTTGGATATTCAGTGTCATGTGTAGAATGAAATACGTAGTCATATTGAAGTTTTATATTGTGCTTACATTATTAGTCGAGGATTGTGTTACTGTAAAATCACTTCGCAAGGGATGTGATATCTGATAACTTTATAGCGTCGAAGTATTATTTCGGCATTGATATTCTGATAAAACTATTTTACTCGTGTGAAACGAAGCGAGTAAAAATTATGGTCATATTTGGTTCTACCAAAGACTTCATTTTAGGATTTTTTTTTGTATTCAAAAAAATATTGTCTAATGAGTTTTAACGTACTAACGTAAACGATTCTAATACCTTTAATGAACGAGTTTTATAAAAATCTACTAATAACATGAGCAAATTAAACGTGTTTCATCATCATCATCATCATCCACCAGTTTCCATCCACTGCTGGACATAGCCCTCTTCAATATCACCACGCCATTGAACTTTTTATTCAGTGTTTCGCATCTATCCATTTAGTATCGTCGCGGAGAACCTAACGGGTAACCGGGGCTCCGGCTCGACGTGCAGGAGAAGGAACGGGGTGGTTTTTAGTCAGTAAGAGTCTGACACTCCCTCCCGCCTCACCCAGGCGGGAGCCGTCACTCGATGATTTTCCCCCCTTAAAAAAATCCATTTACTACCAGCCATTATATAATATCAATTTTGATAATTTTACAATTATAAAGCAATATAGACACAAGATACCTAATAGCAGTACCTAAGTAAACCTATAGAAATAATAATCTTATGTTGGTAGGTATTGTTTGTACAGCTAAAGTCTACAATACCGCATCCCGCGACGCGATTACTTACAGGGATAACTATAAACAATTGGGGATTACCTTCTTTGGGGACCTGTTACATAAACGATGGGAGGACTTG